TATACTACATCCACAGACCAAAAGAAGTCAAATGAGTTCAAAATCATTCTCCCCACTTCCTTGGAGATCGTGCATATACAAGTATTAGATCCTTCCCCTTCTTCCATTTCCAGTACTCCATCAAAGCAGTTTAACATTATGTTCATTGTTCACCATCAATAACCATGTTACACACAAATATTGCACCTAAGATTTTGTCACATATCTAAAATTCTAAATCAGTAATCTAGGAAATTATACAAGAAACATCACTGCAGTATATTTTCTATTCATAACCCTTTCCAAAATTTGGACCATGCTCAGTTAAGCAGGACAAATTTAACTTCTATGATAGAGAGTTATTTACAGAACTTGGAAAGAAAGCTCACAAAATAAAAAACATTGGCTATACGTACATATGCCAAGACATGATTTTAAAAAATATATAAATCAAGAAGCAACCATAAGTTTCACTAAACATTACTTAAATCAACATGCAATTCAGGATTGGCTAACTCGGAGATAGAAAAGTCAAGTTCCAAAATTGATATAGAAACAAACAACGCCACGAGCTACAAAATGAACTCTTCTTTCCCAATCTACCTTCAGCAAAGAAAACCAAACTTAACAAGTGGTGAATGACTCCTGATCTTAACAATACCATGTGCAACAGGTTACAGTAACACCATGACAACACACTCTATCAACGATCAGATAAGAAAGCTTGTAGTAACCGTTTTACAACAAACAAATGGTATGTAATTTGAATCCATCCCCTTCCCGGTTCCACAACAAAGAGAAATTCAAGAGAAATATGAGACCACATCTGACGCTTTCACAGCATTCTGAAGTACAATCCATAGTGAGCTACAGTTCAATGAACAATTCATGCAAGCTTTTCCAATACTAATGGGAATGTGAGATCACCCAATTTATCTCCTACAAGGGAATTTTAATTCAAACAATACTTCCAATAGCAGGATAAAAAGTGGAGAACGCATCTTGAAATGACATCTGGTATCGTGGATCAGCATATAGAACAGCTTGTCAGACATTTTGGGAGACAGATTTCTTCAATTCCTCCCCAGCTATAGATAAACAAAACAAAATGCCACTCAGACCAAAACATACAGAATCTTAATTTACATCCCATCTAAAGGTCTTTGCAGAGTTCCACATATTGAATATGAACTCTCATTGCACCAGGATTACATGCATATTTGGCATTTAGTCCAACTGTCAAATCCTCCCAATAATTTCCTATTGTAAAGCATGGGTTTATCTCATCCGATTGTAATGTATCCAAACACATGTATCGGATCACCAACTTGCCAAGCAATAATCTCCAAGCGGTAAAAGGTTGTAAAGCATCACCTGATAAAGAACTGAACAACCAAATCTTGTACCATCATACAATGCCTAACCAGGGTAGTAACGTGATGATATATCCAATCTGCCTGACGTAAATTCATACGGCCTCACCTTAATATGGAACCACAATGAAGTACGCTTCATAACAACCAAAAAAGGCCCCACTAGACTTAAATACCCTGCTTAGCAGTTTACATGCCAGTACCATTATATCACATAACCTTGACAAGTCCAAAACTGATCCAAAAACAGATCCTAAAGCCTACAGCTCAAAATCCCAAGGAAACACTGTGTTTCAGAGTCATCGCTAGTGTAACACATAGGCTAGCAATATTATCCTACATACCTACTTATTTTCAACTAGAATGTTCTACATTTCTATTATAGCTAGAAGACAAAAATGTTTCCATTAACTTGGTTACCAATTTTTACAACATTTAGTCATTTACAAGCTATCCGCTGGAATCACAGTCAGCCATAAGGCTCAAGCTATACAAAAACATCCTTGCCCTGACCCCCTACCTTCGATAGCCAAAGGTTCCAGCCAATCTTAATCGCTTCGTTAGTATGAAAAACAGCCACGGGTCTCAAGCTAAGCAAAAACAACATTCGCCTCACAAAGTAGATGTATATCAAGTAGACAGCACCATTTCTCAAGCTACGCCAAACCAGTTCTTAACAGGTAAATGCACTCAAATTTTAATATACAGATTATACACAGTAAGGCATCCCCATTTCTCAAATTAAACCACTCCTTCCATCTAAAATCAAACACAGTTTTTCCACATTGTCCCATTATCTATGATTAAACATACAACAGAATTTTCCTAAAACAACCTTTGCAACATTAGAATCATTCCCACACTCTACCCTTCACTAGTTCTAGGTAAAAGTCATCTGCCCATCTTGAAAGATGCAATCCAAAACCATTACTAATATATAGAAAGGTGCAATATTGTTTCCTAGCATCCTACAGCAATACACGTTAATAATATTTCGAAACACACTAGGAGAACACAAATTTCAATAACCATCACACAAGTCATAACCATTAATGTTCAATAAAACACCACAAAAGAGGGTAAAAAGTAATACAAAACTCACCAGATGATTGACAATATGAGAACCAGAAGTATTCCCCCTGGAATTACAGAACCATTTCCGGCAAGACGGTACATTACAGCGAACAACACAAGCAGGATTCTGAACACCACAATACCTACAAGCATGCTCAGAGAAATCCCCAACACCCTTCCCAAACTGATCAACAAACCCATCATCATCACCCGCCGTCTCCTCAAAGTTCAACCCACTCATACCAGCAGCCAACGAGTCCACAACAGAAGCCACACCCTGAACACCACCACCCCCTCCACGACCCTTACTAGGCCCACCAGATGAAGAAGCCGAATGAGGCTCAGAAACTTGATGGGGTTCCTTAATTTCCGCTGCAACAATGGAATCAGAAGGAGTAGGCCAAGCAGGAGAAGACGACGATGTCGAAGGCGAAGCACGAATCGGTTGCGAAAGCTCGTTGAATTGCGGGTAAGCGAAGTCGTCGTCGTCATCATCTCCAGCACCCTGAGTGTTGAATTCGAGGAAAGTGTAAGCATCGTCGGTTCCAGTATCGGGTTGCGATGCAGTTTCGTAGAGATTGCTCGGGGTTGAATCCATGGCAAAAATTCAAATTAGGGTTTCGGAATTACAAGCGCATTAAGAGGAGAGACAAAGAGGGAGGTTAACAATGGTGGAAAGGAAGGAAGAACATGAAGAAGAAGAGTGAGAAGAGGAGAGAGAAAGTTAGGGTTAGGGTTTGGTGGAAAGGGAAGAATAATAAAATTGGGGAAGATGAAAAGAAAGGAGGATGCTGGTGTTGTGAGACGTCATGAGGAGAGAGAAAAGCGTTGGATTTTTGTGAGCTCGATGAAAATAAGGTGAGGTGGGTCACGAGCTACTCACGTGCTTTTAGAATTACTCTTTTTTTTCTATTGGGAGATGGTGGTTAGTAAGGGAATGTGGTGATATTATTGGTGAATGGTGATGTAAGGGGTGGGGCGATATATTGATATATGTAGGAGGCATTTTTAAGGGAAGAAAGTTATGGTACATAATAGGGGCATAATGGTAACTTAGTACAACAAAAAAGTGATGGGATCACATATTATCACTTCAATTTTCAGGTTTTAATTATATCACTATAGTCATTTTAATACCATTACAACTACTATTATACTATTACACTCCAACGGCATAATTTTTCACAACCTAGTGGTACATATCTTAGCTTCAAAAGTATACCATTGTAATAATTTTTAGTGTAATTTTAACTATTTACAGTACTAACAATGATACATTTCACATCTCAGTGGTACTAATGTTATTTTTAAAATATTTACGAATTGTCATGTTATTTACCAACAAATACATAACATTCCTCAATTTCTGCTTCCTCATATATGTAGTGTAGGGTTGTGTAAATTTATTCGATTTGTTTAATCTGATTTGAAAATTTAGGGTTTGTTCATGATCGTTTTTTGTTTTCAATATGTGCATTGATAGTTAGTGTGAAATAAGGATGATTCAATATGGGTATGCTTGATATAAAAGCTCATGTTTTCCTTTAATTTAATAAATAAAGTTATTTGATTAACCATCTAACTTTAACATAACTGTTAGAATATCGAATGATGATTTTAAAATCATTAAAGTTATGTTTTACTTTGTACTTTTAAAAGGGGATTAAAACTTCTTGGGATGATAGTACATGACAAGATGTTGGCCTCGATTTCAATTAGAGATAACCTTATCGAATAATTAGCGAGTTACATATAGAGGTTCAAATTATAACATTGCAATGCAGATGATTAAACAATACAAATAGTGAATATATAAATTTAAATATCATCAAACACACTGCAAAGAAGTGATTTTTTGCGCGTATATACATATATAATTTATTTAAGGAACAAAATACCCAAAAGTTACAAATTCTTGCATACACAAACAAAATGATGTGACTTAAAGTGCAAATTCAATATTTAGTAACTCCATGATGATAATTACTTAGTACACCATAACTTATTTTTGGAGGTCAGTGTCAACTGTGTCATAACCTTAATTGTGAAACATAATGCTTGGAAAAATATGATAAATTGACAACCAATTCAAGGCAGATTGATACAAGTAATAATTATGGAATGTTTGGAAGTAATTTGACACATTACTTGATATGGGAATGTGACACCATGAAAGCTAATTTGAGCAACAAAAATGTCTTTTTATACTTCATGCATTTACTTTTTATTTGCAACGTTATGAATTTCATATTTGCTAATGTATGTATAATTTTAACATTTCACATCTTTAGTTAACGTAAATATAAAATTTTGATATTATGAAAATCTAAATTGCGACAAACCTAAAAAAAATCGTACACGACTGTATTTTGTCCGACATATAAATCAACAAAGATGATCAGTTTAAATATGGAGTAAAAATGTGAATACGAGTAAACAAGTACTAGTGCAAATTTTCACATTGCAATTAAAAGTGAATTGAGAAACTCAGAAAATAATTGACGATACGTTGATGCCCCTCTTAAGCTGGGCCATGTAGCACATACAAGTCCAATATCCAACACCGAACATCCTCAAGGGTTCAGCTCAATTGAAACCCAAAAACAAAACCAACTTTAAAAATAATCATCAACCATTGCACATTTTCACTGAAATTTCTAGGTCTTTTTCACAGAAAGCTTCCATTTTTCCCAGAAAAAGAAGAAGAAAGAGGAGAGAGAAAGTAGAATCGAAGATGAGCAGCAGCGCAGCAGTTCCATTCTGGAGGGCAGCAGGGATGACATACATTAGCTACTCTAACATCTGCGCTAATCTTGTCAGAAATTGTCTCAAGGAACCCTTCAAATCTGAAGCTCTTGCTAGGGAGAAAGTTCTTTACTCCATCTCCAAATTCGAAGATGGCAAACCCCAGAAACCAAGTATTATTCTACTTTTGATTCATTGATTTTGATTTTTCTTGTTTTCCCCTAATTTTATTGGTGTTATCTGGTTTGATTCAATCAATCGAGATCTAGGGTTTCTGGGTTTTTGTGGGTTTTTAATTTGATGATTAATTATGCTTTAACTTTTTCCTTATCCAAATGATTTACATTTTGCATCATCCATATGTGGTCAACTTTGTTTGATCTTTTTTGCTCATTTTCTAACAAATTGTTGACTGTAATTTGTTTGGACGATAAGGTTATTCAATTGTTGAAATTGATGTCGTAAACATCGAATGATTGATTATATATGAATGTGTTCTATTGATTGCAGGTTATATTGAATAATGTGTTCATTTGGTTGAATTTTTTTTTCTTTTTATGCGAATCGAAATCCCCATTCCTTGCCCTGTTCTGCCGCGACCATGAATATCTAAATCGTGGACTCGTGGTATAAATCACATAAATTAGTTTTTTTTTTTTTTTGTTACAACAAAGTCAACAACTTTGTGCTAATCATTCAAATTTGTCCTGTCTTTCTATAATGACTGAGGAATTTTGGACTGAAAATTTCCTTTTAAAATTTATTTGGAATGGTGGAAAGTGTTTTGGAGTGACTGCTTATTAATTTAATGTCATATAATTGCAGTGCATATATTAGAGTATAAGAACATTAAGAAGTATTTACTGGTTTTGAGCTTATTGAATAGATGATGAATTGTAGCGTAGTATAGAAAGATCCTCCTATTTTCTTAATTATACTATTGGGAGGGATTTTGTATCCCGATGCTTGGTGATCAATGTGCAAACTTTGCAGCTGGGGATGGCGATAACTTGGCCTTTTGATAAATTTGCTTTAACAGGAGCTGGTCTATTTTCCAGGCATCAATTATAGATGCTCTTAATTGTCTCCATGGTATTTACAAGAGCAAGTCTTTGGAGCTTTGGACATATTAGACTTTATTTTGACGAGCATGCTATTTATTTGTTCGTTTAGTCTCTTCCTTGTTGCTGACATTGTCGGTGATTTACTTACGCAGACAATAGTAGAGAATTTGAGAGGTGCTTACATGTTAATGTCGTCATTAGGAATCTATCTCTTTTTTAGTTTATATGTTTGGCTAGGCTACAGAGCCAGACTCCCCCCCCCCTCCCCAACTCCCACTCTTATGGTAGTTATTTCCCTTTCATGGAAGCCAAAGAACACATTCTTTAGTGTTTCTATTCTGTTTTTGGGTGTAGCTACTAGCTAATTGGTCAGTGATTTAGTGAAACACCTGCTTACTGAGGGTTCCTATCCTACCCTTTTTATACTGGCAAGGGGTAATCAATTAGGGGGGATAAGTAAAGACTATAACAAGAGGTGATAGATTTCATTGAAGTGGTCTTGGCTGGGGGAGTGAAGGACGGGGAAAGTATTACCTTCCTGTTGCGGTTAATTTATTGCCACCTTCATCTCAACCCATCTTTCTTTGTATCTTTTCTCCTACCACCACTTGGTTCCAAGCAGCCCTGACGAAGAACCAAAATGTTTTGACTTCATTATGAGATACAAATTTTGTCTCCAAATAACTTGTGTAGTCTTTTCTTCTGATTCTTATATTTGTATGCTGATGTCGAGTTCTTTATCCACTGTTATCATGCCTATTAGAATGTTCTTGTATATGCTAGCAGCCTAGCATTAGCTTGTTGTTGCCTTCTTATGGCTACATAAGAGGTGATAGAATGTACTTGTATGGACTAGCACTTTGTAGTTTCCATTATACTCATTGCTGTTTTTTGCTTGACAGTCCTCCGAACTGATGAGGGAAAGGAGCTCTGAACCTTGAAGCTTTTCCACCATGATTATGCTCTCCAAATGTCGTTCTATTTATGTTAGCGTCGTACATTTGAGGTGTAATACCCAGACTCTGAGATAAATTTCTTTGTGAGCTTTGGAGGATGTGATAATAATGTAACTTTCAATCATCTTGAAATATTGAATAGTCCTTTTTCTGATATCTAATGATTTCAGACAACCATTTTTTTTAGTGTCTATGTTAGTGTTTGATATGGTTATGAATATGATTTGCATTTAAAGTTTGGTGCTCTGATGCATTCTTATTATGTATGCAATGCATTGATCAAATAATATACTTTGTATGTTGGTTTTCGGGAGCAATTCTACCACTTGCACCATTTAATGACCGTTACCCTCCCAGGAGTTCTACCTGAATCAATTGTAAGCCTAGATCATTCTTCATTTGGATCTGATTTATTTTGATAACTAATGACAACTTAAGTTGCATGTCTACCTATCAAGCCTTTCCTGTCTACCATAACCTTTTCTTCCTATAAAAAGCATGGACAACTTTAATAAGCATGCTAAAAAATTAAATCGATGCCAAGGTTTTATGTGAACAGGACTTTGATTAACCACAAAATTAATGAGGTATACTTTTCTCCTTATAATGTAGCTATGAACTACCAGATTTCTGAATGTCTCTAAATCCTGGTATTTTTTCGTACTACTAAACTGCTTAGACCAACTAAGCAGCACGATTCATGACTGCAAATTCTTTTAACTTCACTAGACAAATTTCATGTCATAATCAACCAGGGAGGAGTTTGCATAGGACAGGAAAAATATCAGTAATTCCACATGAAACCAGAAAAGGAAGTTTCGTAAAAGGCTTAAGCCCTACTTCAACCCTCTGCGACTTCAGAAATGTACCCATTTTCAAAGTACTACCAAGGAACCTTCCTGGTAGAAGATAACAACCCAAGTAGGCACTGCACGAGTGCACGTGTCGGAAATGGTGCTGATGTGTGTGACTGAGCATCCTCTCCACCCTCTAGTCTCTGAGAGGAGAAATGAATAGCTAATGCCGCATGTTAAAAATCTTTTTCGTTACTTAAGTGCGGGGTGCAACGACTCCAACCACATAATTTCAGAAAGTACAACTTGCTGATCAAAGGTTCTACCATAAGTTTCATGCATAACTACTATATATACAAGCACAGATGTTCTCTTCGTTTGAAATTAGGAAGCAACAGAAATTATGAGATCATCCTCTATCTTCCTCTACTCTCTTGTCTTTATATTTTCTCTATTAGTTCCCCTTCAATGTGTCACCCCTACAGATAATGTATCAGCAGATATAATCAACAAAACATGCGAAACATGTGCCCAAAAAACTTCATCCAACTACAGCTATGACTTCTGTTATTCATCACTTGCTGCTGTCCCTGTTAGCCATGCCACTGACCTCGCAGGGCTTGGGCTCATTGCTCTAGAGCTAGCCCTAGAAAATGCCACCAACACATTTTGGATCATAAGTGGCATGTTAACCAAAAATGAGTCTGATCTTCGTTGCAGCAGTTGTCTGGAGTCCTGCATGGAGCTATATCTAGAAATGAACATAAAATTGGAAGAGAGCATCGGCGAATATATGTCTGGAAAGAAGCATGATGCTATATATTTATGGGTAAGTGAAATAATGCAAGCAACTAACAAATGTGAAGCAGGCTTCAAGGAGGAGAGTAATGAATCTCCTCTTACAAGGGAGAACAACACCTTAAATCAGTTGTGTGGCATAATCATGTGTATTATCGACCTAACTAGCTCAGATTTGAACTCATGGTCTTAAGCTAGCTTCAATAAGGAACATAAATAGTCTCTATTAGCTAAATGTTTCTCCACTTAATTAAGGAATTGTGTTCTGTTATCAATATTCGCTAATAATGCCTCCCAAATATAAGCACAAAGTGGTAGCCATCTCTGGTCTTCGCCGATTTAAGTTAGTGATACCATAAACTAACATATAATTTACATTAATACATACATACCTAAGGTGGAAACCCAATGTGAAACTCAACAAAAATATTTCTCACTGACCAAGTCAGTTTTAGTACATGAGGGCAGGATAATTGATATGAAAACATAATTTTTCCACTGTTGTGCAGTTACAAACGTTCAACATTATTCTACAACAAAACATATACAACTATCTTTTATATAAAGTAAAGTAGTTAACCACACAAAAATGTGCTTTTGTTAGTTTGATCTGTACAAAGAAATATTGGAAACTCCTAAGAAAGTGGGCAAAAACTTGAACAAGTGAGCCAAACAAAGGATGACACACTTACAACTGAATGAATCTAAAAATATTACACCTTTGAACAGTCCCCTTCCCCAAAACACTTACAAAGAACATGCTAATTCAGCTTCTTCACGTTTTCCTATTCATCCTTAGCTTTATACTGGTACCCGTTTCCCGCGGAATCTGTCTATCAACTGCCAAATAAGCAACATAAGGTCAAATGGTGTGCCATAAATTAATTTACCACAAGCCATGTTGAAAATATATAAGTAAAGGATTCCTAATTCTCAACCAGAAAGCAATATAAAAAAAATAACATAAATAAATTAAATGAACACATCTAGTAGACGTCCATTTTCATATGTGTTTTCAATGACACAATAAAATGAGACTCTGCTCACACGATCACCCAACCCAACAGTCTGGTGATTGGCTCAAGCTTTTAAGAAACTTTTTTCCTTTTCTTTCCTATCTATTAAGGCTGATGAGTCTATGTATCTAGTTCAGAAATTGAGGAGGTCTGCATGGTGAATTCACAGCAGTCAAGGCTGCATCATTGACCTAATAAGCAACAAATTAACACACAAGCCTGTTCATGCTTTCTAAGTCCTACACAGAAACACCCTTTGTTATTCAAGTCCTCAAACAGACCGTCCATCTGAATGGCATAACCAGTATCAGATCTACCATGCTCTAGGACCCCCATCTTTAGCAACTTCTTTGTCTCCTTGCAGTGTCGGCATGTAAAACCTCACAAACAGTGATCAGACACCCAAACCATTGTACCCAATCAGATTATATATAGCAAAAATATCATGTTAAGTTCACAGCGAGACTTGGTCTTTCAACTTTTCAAGGGGTAACAAAGAGCTGGAATTTTGGATACAATTTGACAATGGAACATGCAACTTTTTAAATTTTATTTAGTCTTGAATTTTTCTCAGTCACATGCAATGCAGTGAATGCACATACAACAGTGACTAAAACAACTAACCCATTAATCAATTTCTTAATCTCCTCTCTCTCTTTCATCGAACCTTGTGTTTGGCCTTGTGATTTGATCAGCTTTAGCACAGTTAACCTATTAAGTATTGACTTTATTTCTAAAAGTTAAGTGGACCTGAAACATAGCATGAAACCATCAAGTCTTGCACTGGCTGCATCCAGAGTGTGATAGTGAAAAAACTGAAAACAATGGCTTCACAATATTTAGCAGCAATCAGGCAGACCAACACTCTCTCTTAGTTATTAGATACTGATACAGAGAAATTTCATTGAATAGATATATCATGAGTATGACAGATCTAAAACAAGTTTTATTGCCAAAGCTTGGAACTACCATGCTCAGATATAGTCAGATGATTTACCGATCTAAAGAGTGGATGTTGCAAAACCCAACCAAGAACAGGTATCCTCTGTATAAAAACTGCCAGAGTAGGCCAGAAGCCACTGCAAAGATAATCAACCAATCAGCTGTCATTCAAACACCAGAAAGCTATAAAATTGCAGAAATTTTGTTGCATCAACAGACCTGAAAAGTACAATGAATCCATATAATTCCAAAATCATGCCAATAATAGGCCAGCCAATGATAACCAAGAAGAAGCCAACACCAAATGATATCGTACCCTGAGTAACCATGAACAATCATTGAGTAGCACAGTCAGACAGAGGAAACTCAGGGGGGGGGGGAGTGAGGAGGGAGGGAGGGATGAAGGGAGAGAGAGTTAAAGAGGGGAAGAAGGGGGGATACTGCCATCAGAACCTTAAAATTTTGAGGTTTCATGAAAAAACCAAGAGCGGATTTTGGCCCAATGGTCAATGTCACACCAGCCAGGAAGAGGATCTGAAAGAACATGTTTCACTTAGAGAACATCAATAAGCATCAAAAGGAAGTGGACATGGTGATTAGACCATATAAAAAAAATCTGAGATCACAAGAATGAGATAAGAAACTTACGTTACCCATGGCAAGCAACCCCTTGTCAAACAAGAAAATGACCCCCAATAATGTAAAGAACATGCCAAACCCAGTCAATCCCAGTCCAATCTCTGTCAAATTTCACATTCCAAGAAATCACAATAATTAGCTTCTTCAGCACTTCTCTTTAATCCAAAAGAAGTTCATATTCGATATAGAGGAAGGAGAAAGATATTCTCTCAGCAAAAGGCAGCAATCAAAACCTAGAGTCGTGTTCTAAAGGCCTTTAACCAATGAGGACGGGAAAAATCCAACTATGTAGTACATATGCGGCCATGTAAATAAATCCACATCTGACTTGCAGACACATAATTATGATTCTTACACTTCAAAGTAGAATCATAAACAGACCAGACCTTGGTGGTGCTACCCTGACTCCCTAAGTTACAAACTAGTACATGAAATTGTGTCCCCAAGTCCCAACAATGGATACATAGCACCAAGTAGTAAAAAGATCTGTTTCTATGATATCCCTCCCCATGGAATTGTCACTCTAAAGTCTTAATTGAAAACACATGATTTGTAAATTGATCACTTGGATAGGACTGTTGTCCCCAAGTTTAAATTTCGAACCTATAGAATTAGGCGATTAGATCATAATCAGGAAAGAGATCAAAAGGTTAGACACAAAGATCCACAGTCCTCTCCAAAACCAAATTCTTGTCCCAAGTCAGAATAACATAGCAGCAGCAAGCAGTTAGGAAAGAGTTGTAAGCAACAATCCCTCCCTCCTAATTTAGTCCTAAATTCACATTTATGATTGGAAACTATAGCTACTATCCAGAAACTCAAACCCAATTTACCACCATGATCCACCAAGTTATCGCCCTTATCGAGCATCCGAAATCACACAAGCATGATTTAAAATCAATTCAAAAAACAGCAATTACAGTGATAGACAAACCCAATTCACTGCCACGATCCACCACGTTATTGAACTCAAAATCTTAGCAGCATACCAAATCACACAAGCATGATTTAAAAACAATAGCAACAATCAACTTTATTAACAGCAATTTACCACCAATCCACCGTTTAATCTAATTCACAATATCAGCAGCATCCCAATTTGCATACGCATGATTTAAATACAATAGCTAAAACTAACTCATTTCACATCAATTAAAGATTCATAAAAAGTGTATTAATCTTAACAACAATTTATTTCCAAAAAAGGAAGTATCCGCTTACTTTTTCTATCATCCATCTCGAACGATGCCATCTTTGCCGATTCCAAAGGTCAAATCTGCGAAATCCGGGAACAATTATACAAGAAATCAAAAGGAAAAACAGCAAAATCAAAAGCATAAGATAATTATTACGACAAAAATGATCAAATAACAAAATAATTAGGGTTTCAATAAAATCAAAGATCGAACTTACCAACTAACAACAAATTGAGAAATAGTAGTACGAAAAATCAAAAGGTTGAAGTTAAGCTGAATTGCAGGAAACAAAGGAAAGCTTAAGCTTTTGGGAATACCCGAAATGAAGCAAACGTAGTTTCAGGTGTTTCGAAAATTTAAGGAAGAAGAAAAGGAGATGAAGGTGGTGATGAAATGAAGTAGAAATTTGAGGAGTTATTTGAAAGGCAAAAGCTTATAGTTGCCACGCCATTTGGCCAATGAAATGAGACATAACACCAAATTATGCAAGTAAAATTTTTACAACACTTTTTGCATCAAAAATAAATTTGGTAATTTTGGCTGGTGTAAATGTAATTAAAATGAAATTATAAAACTTGTGTTGTAATACTGAAAATCGATTGTATATTTAAATGTTATTACATTATGGGAATCAAACTAAATGACTCATCACTCGAATATGATTCCATAATTTCTTCAAAATGAGCTCAATCTAACACTAAATTTTTACCTTAGACAATTATACCTTCACCCAATATCAATCAGTATAGTGTTATACCCATTAATGTTTACACAATTAACATAGTTTCACCAAATGATTGTACATTTAGGAGTGTTCTGTATGACATACAAACCTTAAATATATTCTTTTTGGTCATATATGCACATTCTTTTTATATTTTCATTCATGTCGAAAGTGAATATTTATATCATCAAGGATGTGGCACTATATCATACGAAGTATTTGTCAAGAGATTATTTTTTGTTTGTGTTACGATGAAGAAACTATCATATAATTAGGTAAGGGATTGCCTAAGTGTAAAATGCTTTTAGGGTATCTTTTGAATTATTTGACATGCAAACGACCAAAGGTGAGTAATCATGGCGGTGCTCATGATAAATCATCTCTAGTGCTTTAGTGCTTGAAAAGAACATGATTCCATTGTGGAATCTAATGCATAGAATTTTTATACTAAGAGTATCCCCAGCCAAAGACCAAATGGGAGGTTATTAGGAGAGAGAAGGTGAAAAAACAATAAAAAAATAGAGAGAGAGAAATTTGGTGGTGGTGGGGGGGGGGAATGAATAACCTGGTTGTGGAAATAACCGGGTTATGAAGCTTGGTCATTAAGTGAAATAGTAGCGCCAACTTGCTTTTATTGTTTTCTCTCGTTTATTGTTAGTGATGTGACATGGAGGGCATGACACACACTAAATTGATCAACGGTCAAGATTTATTCAGAATTTTCCGTTGTAATTTTTCTAACGGCCATAATTTGTGGTTATCCATTGGGATACATTGGTTATTAAATGGCTATAAGAGTGGTTATAGATGAGGTGGAAGATAGATAAATTAATAAAATAAGTGATAACCACAATGGTTGTGGGCAATCATTGGGTTCACTACTAAGTTATAATTATAGAATAAATGAATAACCAATGAGTATATTATTATCCTTAGGCTTCTCTTATAAGATCACGTGGTATTGGTGGTAAGCATGATGTTGGAAAAAATAACAATGTCTAGAATACAAGGTTACAATGCTATACCTCTAGGAATGTGGATGTGTAAGGGGTTTAAATGACTCCTAAATGTGCTACCACCAAAATGTTACCAGTATTTTCTATTAACATATCTAGCTACTCTTGTCACTCATTATGTTTGCCCGTAAGTGTATATCATAATTCATACATGGATCAAGATAGTAGGCTAGTGCAATTGACTAACTTTCCAACTTTCATGTTGAATCTCACTAAACTCATTTTAAGAATGATTTCCCTAATCTCCAATCCTAAAATGAACCTTCTACTTACCAAAAATAAAATTAAATATATTATACTAGTACATGAATCAATTGTGAATATATGATTCTCAATGAAAAGGAAAATGATCAATTGTAAGTAGACCTGTCAATCCCTGACTCGACCCGATTTCAAACTCGTTTTATTGAGAGAGAACCCGAACCCGACCGATCCGACCCAAATGTCCCAAATTAGACCCGATTTGACCCATTTATCATAATTTATAATGATCCAAACAATCCAAACCACTCGAATCAAACGACCCAAACAACTCGAAATTTGACCCGAATCTAACCTGTTAACCCGAATTGATAGGTCTAATTGTAAGGTATTGTAAGGAGTGATACCCTTACCATATTAAAAATTTATCATAAGGTATTGTTCACTAATTTTTCAAGTCGGTACTTGGTAGATAGTAGATACAAATTACAAATCAATGAAATCATTAAAACTATGACATCTCAATCTACCTACAATAAAATTAGATACCTAATCGAAAAATTCAATACAAACAAGTACCAAAATTTATTTTTCAAATACTCAAAAGTCGACTCAGATCATGTTCTCGGGTGCATAAAATAATAATGGAGTGCATTCTCACATGCCGTAATAAAGTCCACTTTGGGGCGTTAGCCGGGCTGGTTAGCTCCCTAACTCTGTGCTGTCTCTCCCTCACTTCGGCAGCTCTTTCTCTCTCCTCCCCTCCATCCCGAAAACGACAAATTTCCCACACTCAAAATTTTCCAATCGCCATCTTATTTTTTCTGGGATTCATCTCAAATTCAAACAAATTTCTCAAACGATTCAATTGAATTTCATCTAGATTTGCCAAAATTGTGTTTTTATTCACTTGAATTCACCTTCAAAATCCCCAAAAATGGCGCCAGTTTCAGCCTTAGCAAAATACAAGCTCGTCTTCTTAGGAGATCAATCTGTTGGAAAAACTAGTATAATCACTCGTTTTATGTATGACAAGTTCGATAATACCTATCAGGTGATTTTTTCCTTTCTTTTTTAATGTTAATTTGATCATCATCAAATTACGATTTGAATGATTGTTAGGTTTTGACGGATCTAATCGTATTTAGGGTTTTATCTTATTGATTCTTTGTTCTCTGCTGATTTAATTCATTGTGATCTTATTATATGAATCTGATTAGGATTCTTTTTAATGTTTGAATTATGATCTTGAAATTGTGTGTTTCTGAAATTGTTTTATGGAGTGGGATTTAGATCTGTAATTTTGATAGAGAGTTGTTGTGAAGTTGAGTAGAATTAGCAAAAGGATCACTCTATATAGTAATTATAGTGAGGGAGTTGTGGAAGTGGGAAATTTGATGCTTCCTTTAGCTAGTGATGCAGCATTTGTGATGAAATTTTGGCATTGTTACCGCATTGTGGTTATATTCGAATACAGCGGTTTGATGATATTTTAGGAGGAATTAGTTGGATCGAATGTGCTGACCACTTGCTGTTAGTATGTGATACATGTCTAAAATGAGGTCTTTTCCCTGTCAACTGTTAAAGGGGACTAGATGAGTACATTGCTTTCGTGCCATTGGTCGAAGTTGAACACTTATAATGGGAAAAAGTCAGGACAAAAGTATTTACAAGTTTGCAAGTCCCTGTTTTGCAGAAGGATCGCTGAGAGAAGCAAGAAAACAGTGCTTAGAAGAAAGTCTCTTAGAAAGTATGCTATATGATGCCATTTTGTTAGAGATTAGGATCCATGCGTGTCTCTTGTCCATATCTTTCCTTTGATCAAGAATGTAGCAGAAGGGTTGGAGAGAGGACTTAATTTAGAATTTGATGCAAGTGTAGCACCTGAAAAATATAAGAATTATTAAAGTGTCCATTGACTTAAATCAATCAAAATAATGAATGTTTACACGGATCAATTTAAATACTTACATACTCCTTCCGTCCCAAAATTGATGTTAAATATACTTTATACATGGTTTTAAGTGATGAATAAGTGGAGAGAAAAATGGGTGGTTGGATATGGGGACCAACTTTAGAGAAAAAGTATTGCGTCAGAGGAATGTGGCAATTTAATTATGATGTCCAAAAATGACTATGTAGCTAGTGATTTGCGACGGAGGAAGTATTATGCTTTAGCATAAGTCAGTGGAAGAGTTGAGCAAATGGTAGAGAGGTTAGGAGGGAGGAAAGAGCATTTAGGCTCATCAAGATGACTTTTGAAAGGTGATGCTTCATGGATTGAAGTGTTGCTCTTTTCTTCATACCGTTGAAGCTATCATTGTATAGGGTGTTTTGGTATATATTACCTTTTGCTTCTTTTGAGCTCTTGATTTAAGGTCTTTGTTATGAATGATGGGTACATAAAGGGGTCTGAGAATGCAGTAGAATTAAAAGGGCGAGAAGGTCTTAGATAGGTGATCAAAACAAAGAGACAAGATAGGCACACTTTAGATAAATTGAGGTGATTGCTAGTCTTAGACTAGCAGCAGGGATTAAAAAAGATGCCTGTGGCTTTAAGTGGCATGGTGGCGTGAAAGTTTGGCTGAGGAATGCTCATTAGTCAGTGATGAATTTTATATGCCCATCAGCTGTTGTAATTACTGCTCTCATATGTTTGTTGTTACTTGTGATCTCATCCCCTCTCCCTTTTGGCAGTGGTTAAGGCTTATGTGACTCTTCTGATGTTTCTCAGGCTACAATTGGTATTGATTTTCTATCAAAGACCATGTATCTTGAAGATCGTACTGTACGACTACAGTTGTGGTAAGCTTCATCCTCAAATTGACTTTTTGAAGCTTGTACTGTATGCTTACTATCTAGTATCCCATTGATTTACTATTTTTTGTGTACAGGGATACTGCTGGGCAAGAGAGATTCAGGAGTCTTATACCAAGTTACATAAGGGATTCATCTGTGGCAGTCATTGTATATGATGTTGCAAGTAATGCTGCTTGACCTTTTATAAAATTTATTTAATTTTGGGCCAATGTTTAGCCTATTTACATACTGTGCTTTGTGCAGGCCGACAATCCTTCCTTAACACTGTGAAGTGGATTGAGGAAGTTCGCACTGAGAGGGGTAGTGATGTTATAATTGTCCTTGTTGGAAACAAGACCGATCTTGTGGATAAGAGGTAAAATGATGAAAAAAAGGTTTACATTTTTGAAATGAATCTATTTGCTCTGTGTGAGATTGTTATTCCTTCCATCCCTATTTGTTTGCCCCATTTTTTTTTTTTTTGGTGTCAAAGCTCATCAACTTTGACCATGAATTTTCATTGATATACGGAGTATAAGAATAGTTATAGTCATGGGGAATCTTGTTACATTGGTTTCGGCATACGTTATCCACTTTTTATAATTTTTACTTATACTCAACTACATGTTTGTAAAAGTAATTGGTGCAAACAATAAGGGACGGAGGGAGTATTGCTGTCATTGTGGTTCCTTAAGATTACATTATGACTAAGCTGTCTGTTAGACTATTGTATTTTATTGATCCAATTTTCCTTTAGTCTCTAGTGTTTCCCCACACAATACTTAGGTAGCTTTTGTGAATTAGAGGACTTCAGGCTGTAGTACCAAAGATTTGAATCATATCTATTAATAAGTTGGACTATCTAAGTGACAGGCCAGATGCTAAAATGCTGACATGGTGAGTGCCTTAATTGATTTGACTTTATGGTACATGGACATCTGGGATAGTTGGAAATTTGGAATGTTCAAAAACATAATATTTTTTTTCTCTGGTTAGAAAAGTCAGTCTTATCTTTCTTTCTTGAACAAAAAAATTGTATATTGATTCACACCTTTAGTGAGCTGTTTGGGTTTAAAACTACCTGACTTGCATTTCTGCAAAAGGATCTTAGTTTAAGAATTTCCCGTGAAGAATAAAGTTCTAAATGCTTTTATATGACAACCTTATCCAAAATCTTCAAGCTGAAAGAGAAAATGCTTAAATATCTCATGAATGATGGCCGAAAAAGTTTAAGCTTCTTTATAACTGCTTGCTTTATTGTTAGCTAGTCAAGTCTGTATGCTTTGTGTTGGATTGTTAGAGCTGAGGACCATAGGGAATCATAGAGATCAGATTACTTATCATCATGGAGTAAATTGTAGAATATGTTTTCAAATTATATTGGAAAGTTTGCAGGGAATCGCTTACTTCATATAATATAAGCCACTTTGCAAGGAAACCCACCCCCCCCTCCCTTTTTTTTTTTTGGTTTTGCAAAAAGATTCAAAATTTTTTGGGGCCATTGATTTGGTAGAGAGACCTGTTCAACGGGCTGGATCTGGGCTGGGCTTTAATTAAATGGTCTGGGACGGGCCGGGCTAGGGTTGAGACGGATCTGAAACAGGCTGGTTTGGTCCATGGACCGCTGGGTCCGGCCCTTTCAAACTTTTTTTAAATTAAATGGCTTTAAATTGTTAAAAAATGCTGTCACTTATATGGGCCTTTAAATTTTTTTATTTTAAAAATTCTTGTCAATTTAATGGGCCTTAGTCAGAAATTTTCAGTAAAATTGTGACAGATTTATTCTTACCAAACCATAGGAGAGAGAAAACTCTGCTAGAAACATGGTTGAAGAGATGACAATGATGATGATGGTTTTTGGGTTCTAAATTCTCCCTCCTTCGTACTCTTTTATTGTTATTTCTCTCTCTTTTAATACTTTTTAGTATTTCTCAATTCTCTTATTCAAAGATGAATTTTAAGTCTTCAACTTATTCATCTAGAGATTTTTAAAAAATAGAGATATTTATAAAATTGGCAAAGTAATTGCTTAGATCTGTAAGTTTTTAGAGTTTTCTCTGCTATTTTTATTTTTTTTTAATTGTTTCAAATTGATATTTGGATTGTGGTGGATGAATAATAAGAGAGGATGAGAGGAAGGGTTCCACCGTTTAAAGGGCTGTGAAACATTAATGGTGACCCTTTAAGAGCCCGCCACAACCCATTACCAGCCCGTATAATGAAGGCCCGTTAAAAGCCCAGCCCTTTTACAAGAGTAAACGGGCCTTAAATGGAGCCCCTGTCCATTGAACAGGTCTAGTAGAGATGCAATTTAAGAAGTAAAAAATAGCGGCGGTTGCCTTGCTGGTGTGGTGAAAGGAGTGTAGACTGTAGAGGAATTTGTAGAGTAAAAGGGGGGACTGGAGGAGTAAAAATAAGGAAGATTCAAATTGGGCACTTGATGTCTTTTTTTTCAGATGAAAATTAGCTGAAGCAGTTTGACATTGCAAATATTAGCTTTTATTTAAGGGTTGCCACGAAGGCCAATGAGGTAGATCGATTACAATTGCGAATATTGTACCATCCCTAAAATTACTTTATTAACTGAATTATAATTAGGTGGCTCTCCAGAATGTAATTTGACTTGGTGTGCGCTGCTAGTTTTCCTTTATGTGCACTGCTAATTTTCCTTTATATTTCCTTTTTCTATCTTGGGAGCAGTTCTATCTACCCATTGCTGTTGTTTCACTGATTTTATTTATTTATTTATTTATTTATTTTTCACTTTACAGGCAAGTCTCCATAGAAGAAGGAGAAGCAAAAGCTCGTGATCTCAATGTCATGTTTATTGAAACTAGTGCAAAAGCTGGCTTTAATATAAAGGTACATCTTTACATTAACTTTTGCTTAAGCTGCACTCTAGGATGAACTAATGATCAGAGTAAATCATTTAGCAACATACCCATATATTTAATAAGACTTTTGTCAAGATTGTTAAAATTCTGCTTAAATTGCACTTGAGGATGATCTCATAGCTCAATGTCTGCGACATTTGGTTGGAGCAGTTATAGCATAATTGGAGATCGTGTAAATTAAGTTTTTATTAGGTGATGTGTATGCCTTTGGCCCTAACCTACCCTTTTCACATTCTCCTTGTCAGTTGTCAAATGATTTCCTTATGTCATGATTGCCAAATGTTGTTTTCTCTTCCTATTCCAATACAGATCTTCTCCATATCTCTTGCTTTGTTTCACATGTTCAAATTAGAACACCTAAGCAAGTATTAAACCCTCTTGATCTGATGAACTCTGGCTGTAGCTATCAATGTGTTGGTTGCTCTTATCTGAATCAATTATTGGAGCACACATTAATTTCTGATGCTCTCCATTTGGCTTTTGTGCTGGCAGCTCTTGATAGTCCTTTGATCCTTTTCTTTTCATCGCTATTGTACTTTCTTTGGTGCTTTGGTTAAATGAATGTATGTTTAACCAGGTTACTTCAGTTCCAATATCTTTGTTTGGCATTGCACAGGAAAATGTGCTTCCGTGTTTAGGTGGCAGTATATTTTAAAGCTGTAGTTGTGACATTGTGTTTTGATGTTTGAAAGCCTGACCTGACCTGACAGGGCATCATATTATTGTGATTTTTTCTTCTCCCTGCAAAGTAAGATATTGCATATCATGATATTAACATAACATGGAAATTGCAGGCACTGTTTAGGAAAATTGCTGCTGCATTACCGGGAATGGAGACACTCTCTTCGACGAAGCAAGAGGATATGGTTGATGTAAGTCTCAAATCCACGTCTAGTGCACCCCAGTCGCAGTCCCAGGGAAGTGGATGTGCTTGCTGACCTTACCTCATAATTCTCCATGGAAGTTGCATTCTACTTAGTTTTGTGTACCTTTTTGTACTTTCTGCCTTGAATTCTAGAAAGATTTTGCTCCTCTTCTCTGAAGTAATCATAGTGATAATGTTGTGCTGTTCCTGCTAGAGTAAAAGATTGTTCTTTGAGAATTTGAGGGACTAAAGGACGTAGAAATATTCGATTTATTATGCTATTATTTGTCTGAACTCCAAAGTATTTCAGATATGAATATGACTTGTTAGCTCAAAGAGACGGTTAGCTTCCTTTGCCTCACTCTGTTTTTTGGAAGCATATGGAGCTAATGCTTGCTAGCGTGATTCACATCCTCAATGTGGTTGGTAACTATGGAAAAAAATGGTTGATAGCTATGGAAATAATATATTTATGTGTTCTCGCATATGAGAAATTGGTTATAGACATGCATAAGATAGTGCTGAAACCGCAATTCTTATAGTAAACTGATGGAAGTTCATTTAAATATCAAGTCAATTTTTTTTTTTTTTTTAAAAAAAATAAAAATAAAATCACAACATATGAACTAAACTGTGTAAACTCTGTATCAGAACAATTCTGTGCTAGCATCAAGCTTTACTTTTGTTGCTTTTTTAGCTTCAATATCATCCAAGTAATGCTGATATATATAAGAAAGGAACCCCCACATAGCAAGAATCATAGAAATCACCTTCACACCATTCATCTTATCATGGAAGAACACGACTGCGAAAATCGGAACCAAGGGCAAACTAAAGGTGGCAATCACATTAGAGAAAAGGGATGAAACCTCAAAAATTAGACCTAACATTCCCAGCAAAGCAAGTTGCCAACTTATAGCCGTGAAAGCTAATGTTAACACATAGGGCACACCACCCGATTTGTAATTCCTCATCTCTTCGTTCAGCGTATGCCATTCCCCGCTACCAAAGAGCCCTATTACACAAACACAAGTCGCGACAATAAAAGGGTAAAGTTGCATACATACCACGGTGTTAAGGGAGTTGTCCTTAATCACCTTCTCGAAAGAATATTGTGCCACGGACACGTTGAAAGCTAATGCCGCGGAAGCTCCAAGGGTACATAAAAACCCTAAGGCAAATTTCCCCTTCCCGGTATTATTGCTCGTGTTAGCTTCATTATCAGCATTGATAGCTATAAGGCACGCGGAGATAGTGAGGATTACAAGCGAGTTAAGCACTAGGGCAGTGAATTTCTGCGCGTTGATGAAGAAGGATGTAACCGCGTTGAAGGCTAGTTGGGAGGCACACAACAAGGAATACGTAGACACGGGGAGGTATAGTAATCCATAAGAGTACATCAAGTTATCACCGGCCACAAGAAGGCCGTAAACAAAGTAGAGAAGGGTGAGCTTGTAACCCGGGGGACGAAGAGACGTTGGTGAAGAGGCTAGGAATAACTTGAGGGGAATGAGGATGGGAAAACCGGCTGTTTGTACAAAGGTGGCCATCCATTTACTGTTTCCACCTTTGTCAAAGTAGAGCCTTCCTAAGAGAATTCCGGTGGTTTGGCCTACGAGAAGAAATAGGATTAAAGGTATGATTCTGAACCACATTTTGTAGTGTTTAAGGTTTGACAAGCCTGAATTTGGGCTTGCATCATCTTCTTTGGTGCCTACAAAAAATAACTGTTGTATTAGAACAAGCAACATACTAAAACTTAGATGACATAAGACGTCAAATATTACTAGTACAGAAAGGAAAAAGAGTCAAAAAGTTTTTTTAGAGTTAACTCGTGCCTCTATTCAAAATGTTCCGTTAATTTATTGCTAAGGATCATGCTATCTAAAGGCGTTTAGTTTACAAGGTGATATAAATTTTTAATTAAAACTATAAGGATATAGTTTGGATTTCTTTTGGTGAAGTCCGTAGACAAAAATATATGTTATGTACAGTAGAAAGTAGGAGAGAAATTTTGGATCATGTTTGACAAAATTTAGAAAGAAAGTAGACTAAGAAACTAGAAAGTAGTTGAATTAAACTAGAAGCCACTCGTTATTAGTGATGAACTTGATGATTAAGTAGTTAATAGCTTACCTCTGGTTTGTTGCGCCAATTCTTGAGTAGATTCCATAGTAAATAAGAAACTAGTAGTGCATAAATTTGGATGAAAAGTTTGATAGTTCCTTGGAACTTTGGAAGTAAGAGAATAGGATTTAAGAAGTTCAAGTGAACAAGAACACGAAGATATTTTAACTACAAGGTCTACAACCTTATCATTAGATAGATGTAGTCATCTCAAATGAGCTACTTACAGAGTTATAGTCTTGTCACAGGGCCTAGATAGATAATTTGCACAACTATCAATTAACATTGAATAAAATTGGGCTTATAAATTTTACAAATAAGTTAGCTTTGAACAATTATCAAATTATATTCTCATTTGAGTTCTAATCTGATCTGATTTGAAATGATTTATTGGTTAAATTTAACTACTTTTTAAAGTTGATTTATACTTCGTATATATTCCCTTTTAATTATTGCACATTTTGACGATGCATATGCTCTAATTTAAACAATACTCAAGCTAAGAAAGATCATACTTAACAATACAAATGCTTTCAATATATCAACTTTTATTTTATTTTATTTATTTATATATTTATATATACATAAATTAATAATTAGAGATATAAATGCTTAAAGTTATACATTTAAAAATGTAAAATGTAAAATATAAAGTTATTCTAGTAAAAAGATATAATCTAATCCGACATACTATGTATATCTAAATAAAACCTGTCTGATTAGACATAACATATCCTATACTAGCACAATGCTTCATAGTTGCATGTTTCATTTCTCAAAGTTAATTTCACTAGCAACAATTTCAAGCACACCTAGAACCGAAATACTTTACTAGCAACAACTTTTTGTAGATCTTTGCTAGCATACAGTATAAATAATAAAACAACAAAATCACCGCAAATTAATTTACGAGTACATAAAAATTATCCTGCAAACTAAAATCGTAAATTGACACTAGGATAACCGCTTTGATTTCTTATCTATGGATTTTTTTTTTCTTTTTTTTTTACCAATTCTTATTTATGGATTTTGACATTAGCGATTCATGAAAAAATATCATTAGTTGGTATAGATTGGATAACGTTTTACCTATTTTAAGTAACATAATGTTGATCACAAAAATAGATAAATTTTTTCTAATCTAATATCTTCACTATTGGAGTAACCGAATTTAGTAACATCATTTCTAATCTAATACTTCCTTCGTTTTTTTTAGTTGAAACAGATTGACTTTTACACTATTCACAAACTACACTTTGACTAGTTTTTGTGATTTATAGCTACGATAAAATATAGTCAAGTGAGATCTTGTTTGAATCGTCTCAATGTATATTTTATTAATATCTACTTTTTATAATTTTACAATATCGTGAATTAGAAATATTAATCGTCAAAATAGTGCGTTGACAAGCGTGATAATAAAATGGTGTCAACTAAATAAAAACCGAAGGTAGTATTAATATATTCTAAATTACACTTGTGATATCAAACAAGACCCACTAACTTTTTTGAAGACCTCAACGTACACTCAATAAACAAAAACTTTTAGTTGAGGAAAAGAATTGGGCAGCCACTAGAATTTACTATATATGGAATTGAAATGTGAAATAATGAAATATGTATCATCTACCATCAATTAAACCTTAGCAGAGTTGGCTTACACTATCCACAATAATAGACGGTGTAAAAAACTGAAAAAAAATAATCTGTAACAAAAATAAGAACGTGTCACTTTCAACGCTACAAATTAATTATAGGCCATTCAGAAAATATATTTCTTGATTAAAATTTTCTTGAACAACATCTTGTACTATTAGAAAACTACTCTGTAGATAAATATGAATTCGACTCGAAATTGATTCAAAACCAAATCTTCAAAAATCTAAATATCTTATTAATGTTGATTTTGAGCATATATGGCTAAATACCAATCATAATTTATGCGCAACTTTCTTGGTTCTCGATGGATGCTGCTCAAGAGATGGTACGACAAAGTCGAGGTAAGCCACTCAAATCACAAATTTCTCTGTTTTTAATTTATTTTATTTCATCTTAGACATACACGTACTATTTGTTGATTTGATGAGTAAATGTTAAAGATACAAATGCCAATTTTCTAGGAATTAATATTTCCCTGATTTTCTTGAGCTTAAGCACTCCATCCATTTTTTTATTTTTTTTTAAATTTTATTTATTTTTAATATCTAATATTTGTGGTGCTCCGAATCATTTTATATCGATAATAATCCTTTAGTGGATGGGTAGTTGCTACTCTAGATTAAATAGGAATCTTAGGATGTGTCGAAATCTTAATGTCTAAAGTTATTAAATAACTAATCAAATTGATAGATTGGGAAATATTTTCGCTATTTTATTGTTAATATTATTACTTAATTATACATTCGGTGTTTTTTCTGTGTGGCTGACCACATCGTGTGACGAGGATTACTTATTCATGGGTTATCCAATCAGTTAAGGGTTATTCAGTCGGTCAAGGGTTACTTATTCTAGGGTTACTCAGTCGGTTGGCGTATTTTTTGTGTGAGAGTAACCGCTAACCGACCTAATAACCCTTGGCCCGACTGAATAACCCTTAAATAAGTAATCTATGAATAAGTAACTCCAGTCATATGGTGTGTCCAACCACATATAAAAGTTTGCGTATAACATTAAATTTTATTTATTTATTTATTTTAACGGCCTACATTTTTAACATCTAAACTCCAAAGGCAAGTAACTAAGAATTAGGAATTGTAATAATTGTCGGAAATCGAAATTTTATCTACGTCATAGTCTCATACGAAGTTACTCCGATGTAGTACCGAGATTATGGGCCACATGGCCCACATTGTGCTAGCCAGTTAATAGGATTTTTTGGGCTTTAATAATGGACTCACCACAACTAACGACTCTCCTATTTTACAGGTTTAGTTTCTAATTAGGAAAAATTTCCAATAATAATATTAATCCCAACTTTACTCCGTCTATCCAAAATAATCTCAACTTTCGATTATTTTTTAATAATCTCAACTTTATACTTCATCCGCCCAAAATAGTCGCAATCGGTCATGCAACTTGTTATTACAAGTTACCGGACACATGTCATCCTACGATTGGATAAAAAAAAGAAAAAAAATCAAAATAAAAATTAAAAAATAAAAACCACCATGTAAGAAATTTATGGACCTAAATACAATAATGTATGTGGACTATACGGTTATGATTGTATTTCTACGCTTCATATAGTTTAGCCCAAAAATAAAGTGATCCATTTAAGTAATTATAATTGTTGGGCTTAATTACGTCTTTTATAGGGTATGAGTTTAGTTTCATGTGTAGAGACCGTTGGATCTTTTCTAATGCATGATGGGCGGATTAGGGAAGTAGGGAAGGAAGTCTATATAAATAGACATCTATGGTTATGGTCCCTACTAGTACATACAATAGACTCTCAAAATATCCCATCAATAGAGAAAAAACCCTAGAGTGTGTAACTAGTAGAAGACACGTAATCAAGAAGGGGCCCGATCAATTGTCATGGAATCAGGTACGCTTCCGCAATTATAATTTACCGATTAATTTGATATGAAGAATAAAGTATATAGTAGGAATTAATCCTAACACACCAGCCTTCAACCCAGCCACCCCCACTGCCACACAGCCTAGCCCAACCCCTGCGTCAGCCACCGCCCAAACGCCCTCCCCCGGCGTTGGCGGTATTTTCTAGACCAACACCGTCATCGCCACCTTCTACTGCAATGGTCAATGCCATTGGCACCTTCGAAGATACTCCTGATCTCCGCAAAAAGTTGGGATTATTCATAGCAATTTTTCCTAATATTAATTAATTTTTTTTTTTAATAAAAAATTACCTAACAGGTGACCGGTCACTTGGGATTGTTTTGGCCTTTTGGGAGGATGAAGTATAAAGTTGAAATTATTAAAAAAAAAATCGAAAGTTGGGAATATTTTAAGCGAACGGAGCAAAGTTGGGATTATTCATAGCAATTTTTCCTTCTAAATTATAAGGACATTTTATTGTCTAATACTTGTGATCTAATGTAACAATTTAGTATTAAGATTTAAGAGTGAGGAATAATTCAGGTTGTTAGGACTTCCGTCTTGGTTTTAGGGGATCCTATGGGCTATGGCACCTCTAATCACTAAAAAGGAAAAAAAAAAAAAAACCATTTAGTATGTATAATTGTTTTTTAGAGCTGTCTAATACCTTATATCTTTGATAATCATTTATTATTCTGAAGTTTTAGCAATTTTGTAGGCAAAGAAGAAATTGATACTAGACCAAAAGAGGACATCATTCATCATAATTCCATAGCCAACCACATCAACAACAAAAATCTTCTATTGCCAAAGGCCAAGCACTACAAAAAATGGCTTCGAATCACCATTTACATCCTCTTCCTCCTCGTTGGCCAAACCACCGCGACTCTCTTAGGAAGACTCTACTTCGACCAGGGTGGAAACAGCAAATGGATGGCCACATTTGTGCAATCAGCCGGCTTTCCCATCTTCATTCCTCTCTTATTCTTCTTCTCCTCATCAACTACTTTTCGTCGCCCCTTAGTCCTTAGGCTCACCTTCCTCTACACTACTTTCGGCCTAATCTTAACCGGAGACAACTTGATGTACTCATATGGACTACTATACCTTCCTGTCTCTACGTATTCTTTATTGTGTGCCTCTCAACTAGCCTTTAACGCGGTCACATCCTTCTTCATCAATGCGCAAAAATTCACTGCCCTAGTACTCAACTCGCTTGTAATCCTTACTATCTCCGTGTGCCTCTTAGCCATCAATGCAGACAACGAAGGTAACCCGAGCAATAATGTGTCGAGGGGCAAATATGTCATAGGATTTTTATGTACACTTGGTGCATCCGCGACATATTCTTTGTTATTGTCATTGATACAATTCTCTTTTGATAAGGTGATTAAGGATGAGTCTTTCAACACAGTCATATGTATGCAACTTTATCCTTCGATCGTGGCAACCTGTGGTTGTATCATAGGGCTCTTTGTTAGCGGAGAATGGAGAACATTGAAGGAAGAAATGAGGGATTATAAGACGGGTGGAGTGCCCTACGTGCTAACACTAAGGTTCACGGCTATAAGTTGGCAAGTATCATCGGTAGGGTTGATAGGACTAGTTTTCGAGGTTTCTTCCCTCTTCTCTAATGTGATTAGCACCTTGAGTTTGCCTATGATTCCGATTTTCGCAGTCGTGTTCTTCCATGATAAGATGAATGGTGTGAAGGTGATATCTTTGGTGCTTGCTATGTGGGGGTTTCTTTCTTATATTTATCAGCATTACTTGGACAATATCGAAGCTAATAAGGCAAGAAAAGAAAAAGGGGATGAAATATTGGGTGCTATCACAGAAATGTGTTAATAGTGGTATACTAATTAAAGTTGTAATTATTAATTTATGTGATTTTTATCTTCTTTGAGAAATTAGTAGTATTGTTGATAGAACCTTGCAATTCCACGATCATAATCTTAGACCAACTAGTCAACCTATTCAATGGCAAATTTTTTTATGTAGCTTTTAGAAAGTTTGATTAAGTCATATATATAACACTGTTGTTGAAAATTGAAATAAATTATAAGTGTACTAAAATTGTTTCTTCGTATCAAAACTTTTACATATAAATGGAACTAACAACTCAATCACGAGCAATGATAATTCGATTTCAAAAGGTACATAAATATGCATATTAGTAGATCATATAACCTATCTACGATCACAACTACGGATATATGGTTTATAACTCAACAGTACACTCGGTTTAGGAAACTGAGTTCTTTGGTAAATCGACCTAGCTAGATCGACCTAGCTAGATCATCTGCAAGGTGCCAAGTGGTTCATGTGGTTCATGTGGGTGCAAAGCGTGGCTGCGGGCCTAGTGTGGACTTCAAGTATTTCAATTTGGCTCAAATAAAGTTTGCTCACAAGTCGTAGTGTAGTTTGTTGATTGCTTCTATTTTCTGTACTGTATTTCTTTATAGATACTCTTTGTCTAAAAAAACCCTCAACACTCATACTACAATGTATGTATTTTAATCCGCACACAACAATCAAAGTACCATACACGTACAAATGTACAATATAACCCAAAACAAAACATTATACCCAACCGCATAAAATATCATGCTACACTTATCCGAAATATAATCCGATTTTTATCGGTATAATAAGATGAACATAAAAGTGTACGTGTCAAGAAGGTCTAATTCGGTGACGTAGGTGTCAATGTAACATAATTATGCATACAATTATGCTTGATTATTCACCTTGCATGTTGAGGTTCAAAACGACAACGTAGCATGCATCTTATATTGTCGTACCTCTAATTAAGTTGTCGTGTCTTTTATGTATGCACTTATATATACTGTATAATTGTATATCTATCTACTAGAGAGAATTAAATTGGAAAGTTTGAACAAGTTAGTCGAAAACTAGTAGCTAAAAAGGAAAGCTAAAAGAGATAACAACAATGGCAACGAGACAACAGCATAAGAAAGAAGAATTGGATGAAAGGGCAAAGAAAGGAGAGACTGTAGTACCTGGTGGTACTGGTGGCAAGAGCGTTGAAGCCCAACAACACCTTGCCGAAGGTCCGTTGCGTTTGATTTTTATTTATTTATTTATTGTTCTCCTTCCGTCTCAATTTAATCTTTCTACTAATAATAATACGTACTTTTATTTGTATATTTTTGATGGCTAATATATGTGTTTAGTTAAGTATTGTAGAGTAGTTCAAATTTAGCTTTTTTTTTTTTGTAATTATTGGAATTTCTAAGGAAAAATAGAAGTGTTTTGAAAAGCTCATAATTGGTAGAAAAGTTTTTTTTTAATTTTCCCCAAATAGTTACAAAAAAATGTCACTGTTATATAGACTATATATAAACGTAGCAATTATTTTTAAAAATTCATCACGTAGGTCTCTAGTTTACATTATACAACATTACAACCAAATTTATTATAGCTAATAAGTCACGATAAATAGATTAAGATAAATAGATTGAATGAGTGAAATACATACAGTTGAATTGTACATACCCTAATACGATAGTATAATTGTTTGTACATGCAGGAAGGAGCAAAGGAGGGCAAACAAGAAAAGAACAGCTAGGGACAGAAGGGTATAAGGAGATGGGTCGCAAAGGTGGGCACAGCACCAAGGACAACCCCGATGAAGGCGAAGATGTTGATGAGCCCGCCACCTGAGCACCGCCCCACATCATCGGCACAACTTGTAGCTCAATAGCAATACTAGCATCTAGTCTAGTTCATAAATAATAAGATCATGTACATGTTATCTATGTAGACCAAGATCAAAATAGTAGTATGCTACTAGTATATGTATATATGTATTGAAACTCCTTGTTTTTTTAATGATGTATGGACCTTTTTTCGTTTTAATTACTACTTCGTACTTTATTGATATACACCGATTTACTATTAGAAATTGATTGGATTTGGAATCATACATTCTTCTAAATATATGATCATCACTTCTTATAAGAAGTAACCTATTCAAATTTTGATGCTTCAAAGGTGACCAATCAAAACAAAACTTGATACGACTATTTCATTTACTTTTATAGGTGTAACAATGTTACTCATCACTATTATGTTAAATGATAAAGACATTCGAACCCTCGACATTTTATTAATATGTAAAAAAATTTATATAATCTAAGTCAATTATCAACTACAATTATTAATATGTAAAAATATTTATATAAATGCAAACCACAAAATTTAATTTTAAAAAAATAAAAATAAAAAAAATACTAAAAGAATAACTTAATTTTGATTTGACAACCATAATTTCAATTTTAAAAAGCCTTTAATAAGATTTATCGATTGCACATCTACAACAGTCAATAGTAACAACCTAGGACAACGTCTAGACTCCTCACTAATTTTAGTTAATTAAAAATCATACTTTGGTTTCCGACTTGAGAGGTATTTCAAAAATAAACCCTCATCCTAAACCCTCAGACCAATGAGTCCAACCCTATTAAAGTATGGAGAGAGTCTCGTAAAAAAAAAAAAAAGTATTGACGCAACAATATCACTTTAATAACCAATAACACCCGCAAAAACATAACTTAGCATATATAAAAACGCCGAAATAGTCTGACGTAAATCATCTACAGTTACAATATAGTGAATATACTCCAGTATTCATTCCAGTGCTCACTCATCACTTGCATTGCCTTCCAGCATCTTAATTCCTTGATATTTTTCGACGTCGAAAAAACCTTGATGGAAGGTTGATCGAATTAGTTAACACAATACACAAATCATGTACTAAGCTAGGTGACTTTGGCAGTGACCCATTGCTTTCTCTTTGGGGTTCTCTCCCCTCTATCGTCGCCATCGGCGGCCAGGTTTTTTTTTTTTTTTTCTCTACCTCGACTTATCGATACTAACAAATTCATCGTTAAATTTTGGTGTAATTTAATTTTTTTTTTTTTTTTTTGATAATGTGATTTTGATGGTTAACGTAATTTAATGTAGAGTTCAGGAAAGTCATCTGTGCTTGAAAGTATCGTTGGACGTGACTTTCTTCCCCGTGGTTCAGGTTTACTTTATTTATTTATTTATTTATTTTTTTTTACTTTTCGAATCAAAATCATCTGCCTTACTTTATTGTATTTTAATTTCTGGATTGCTATTCGTCGCTCCTTTTTTACCAGGCGTCGCTCCCAATTTTAAGTGAAATGACCATTTTGCCCTTAGCTTATTTTTTGCTATTTAAAGGTTCACCGAGTAGCCATATCCATTCACGAGCATATTAAAATCATTATGGAGCGATTTCACTCAAAATTTCGTTTTCAAAATCCCGAGTTCCAAAATTCCCGAGCGAGGGCAATACAAATCGTTTATTTATACAAATAGTAAATTCCCGAGCCGAATTTACGGGCTTAAGATGTGGAATGACGGCAACGTTCGTACACCGGAGGCATCGTCGGAAGATTCTGTAAGTTTTTTAAATTTTTTTTTTGTTTCTGTTAAATGGACATCCGGATGAAATTTCCGGATGATCCTTGGGTCATCCGGAAATCTCATCCGGATCCTTCGGGGTAGATCCGGATATTTAATCCGGATCTAGGGGCATCCGGAAATTTCATCCGGAAGTAACATCCGGACAAAATATCCGGATCTTCCACGAAGAATCCGGATGAGATTTCCGGATCACCCAAGGATCATACGGAAATTTCATCCGGATGTCCTTAAAAAAGGTTTTTTTTTTAATGTTTGTTTCTTTTCTTTTCTGTTTTTTCCATTAGTTTTATTGTTAATTGTTTCCATTACTGTTATTGTTATTTATTTTATGTTTTATTCCATTAGTGACATAAAACCGAAATTATTGTGTAAACTATTATTATTATCGTTATGATTAATTGTGGTATTATTATGATCCATTTTAATATTGTTTCGATAATTTTTGTTTATTACTATTATTCGTTGGTTTTTTTGTGTTATTGATTATTATTATCGCTGTTACGGTTGTTATTATTGTGTTTATTATTATTGTTTTTAATATCGTTATGTTTAATTGTGTAATTATTATAATTAATTTTATTATTCTGTCGATAATTTTGTTTATATTAGTGTTATTGTTAATGTTTTTATTGTTTATATTATTTTTAGTATTGTTGTGGTTATTTTTAATACTGTTACTATTATTGTCTAGAAGTAACGAGTTTGTGTTTTATGTGTGTTATAATTATTTTTTATAGGGTTCGGAGGACGAAGATGCTGCCGACGATGTGAATTATAGTGCGCATTTTGCCACAGACACGCTGTTTCCAACGTTTGATGAGGCAGTTAATTGGGCGTATGCTGTTGCCGTGAATCTCGGTTTTCTTTTGGTTAAATCGTCTTACAACAAAACTAGAGACGGTCGGCCGTACCGGTATTTGAGGTGTGATAGGGGCCGAAAGAGCCAGCCGAGAGATCTTGAGAATGCAATTAGGGTGGACACCAAAACCAAAGCAATTGGTTGTCCTTTCTACATCAAGATTTATTATGTCTTCGTCACCAACAGTTGGAAGATACGGACCAAGAATGATGCAACTGGGACCCATAACCATCCAATGATTGTCTATCCGGAGGGTCATCGTAAGATCAGTGGCTTGAGCCCGGAAGCCAAGAAGGTTGTGCAGGACATGACAAAGTCCAAGGTTGCACCGCGGAACATCATAAAACTTCGCAATAACAACAACAAAGACGACAACAACAATAACAACAACGACTCCAACAACAACTACGACGATAACAACAACAAAAACAATAACAAATAAAACAGAAAAAATAAATCTGGAATAAATCCAGAATTTCTGGATTTTGGGGACATCCAACTGAAATAATCGGATGTCCCAAGAACATCCGGATTTTTCAGTTGGATGTTCTTGGGACATCCAAATTTTTCAATCGGATGTCCCTTTTTTTCCAGAAAATCTCGTATTTTTCCGGTTTTTTTTTTTTTGCGATTTGAGTACCTGCTCGCCGGATAATCCACCGCCGCCGCGACCACCGTACGTCACCCTTAATCGCCTCCGGTCACCCATTGCAAGTCGATTGTGATTTTCCGGTTATGGTTTTTTTTTTTTGGATTTAATTTTTTTTTTTTTTTTTTTTTTTAGTTTTCAATTTCTGATTTTTTAGAGATTAGAGATTTTAGAGAAGGGATTTCAGATTTTAGAGACAGAAAATTCAAGTGTGAGGTGTGTAGTTCGGGAGTCTCGAGGCTATTTATAGTCTAGGGGCAATTTCGGAATTTCAGGCAAAAAAAGCGAGCGACGCTAAGTAAAATGGGAGCGACGAATAACAACTCCCTTTAATTTTCTATGAATTGTTATAATATGCTACCTCCGACCCTAAATAATTTAAGATCGGATTATTATTTAGTACATTTTTCTTGAGAAATTAAAGTTCGATCTAACGTAGTATGTAGCCAATTTCACTGTAGCATTGGCCAATTTGAGATTAATGTTAATTGAAAGGAAACAAATGACTTAGGGCTTGTTTGACATCGTTTTATGTATTTATTTTTAACAAAAAAAAACCCAAAAACAAGAAATAAGAAAAAAGTGTTTTCATTTTTCTGTTGTCAGTTTTCAAAATTATTATGTTTTTAATATGTTTGACTAATTTTTGATTAATTATATGACATATATCATATTATTTTGAAAAACAAAAACCCAAAAAACAAAAAACCAAAAAACGAACCCTTAAATAATGACGTTTAGAGTAGTAGAGCCACCAAAATTATTTACCTTAATGAAGTTGAAAAGCTATCAATTCAACATGCATGATGGCCAGATCCTGAATTTTGTTAGTGAATTCGTTCCAACATGTTTATTATACACTCGGATGTGCTTGAAAATAGGTGCATCCATGACGGAGTACAAAATTTTGTACTGATATTGTCTCAAAATATGGTAATTATCATCTGTTATTGCTGAGTATTAGTCTCTGAGGCTTATAAGTTACAATGTGTACATACAGGTATCGTGACTCGAAGGCCTTTGCTTTTACAGCTACACAATATCGAGCCAGGAGAAGAGGAGTATGCAAAGTTTCTTCACTTACCAAAACAACGATTCACTGATTACTGTATGCTAGCTAGTTTCCTTACCCTTTTCTTCCTTGGAAGATGTTAGCTTTGTATGAGCTGTATTCAGTTGGGGTTATGATTTAACAGTTTTGTTCATCATGCTTTCATGCATCATTTGTGGCTGAAAATTTTCATTACTTCTGCTTGATCTTATTATTCATGCAGCACTGGTTCGAAAAGAAATTCAAGACGAAACTGATAAGATAACTAGCAACTCGAGGCAGATTTCTTCAGTCCCCATCCAACTTAGCATACATTCACCCAATGGTATCTTGAATGAAGATTTGAATATAGTTTTCTTATTTTCTGTAGTCCATTTTTAGTATAACAGGTTTCTGACATATTTTTTTTCCCTGTAATACTGTCTACTGCAGTTGTTAACTTGGCAATGATTGATTTACCTGGTTTAACAAAGGTGGCAGTAGGTATGACTCTGGCCTCTATTTGATGGTACATAATATAGTTTATCTAATCTTCCTGTTACGTTCCTCTCTACAAATTTCTGATTTCTCTGAGACCGCGCTGTAACATTTTGTTGACAGAGGGGCAACCAGAGACCATAGCAAAGGATATTGAGAAGTTGGTCCGCTCATATGTGGAGAAGGTAATCACTTGAGAGGACTGTTTTGTGATACAAATGAATCCGAGCTTTAAATTGCACCTTTTGTGTGGCTTTTCACAAAATATCGATGGTTGATCTCCAAGACTATCTCATTTGTCAAAAGTCATACGACATTTACAATGCATCTAAGATCTAACTATCTTAGGTTGTGTGTGTGTGTGTGTTTTTTTTTTTTAAAAAACTCAAAGTAATTCTCTATTTGTATTCTTGCCCTGTAGCCTAACTGCATCATCCTAGCCATAACACCAGCTAACCAAGATATAGCTACATCTGATGCTATCAGGCTTGCCAGAGAAGTTGATCCGGCAGGTAATTTAGGACTAAGATTTCTTTTCGAAATATGGAGTAATATTGTTTGATTTTATGTATTTCTTGTTTATTGATATTTGATCCTTGCTAGGTGAGCGAACATTTGGTGTTTTAACCAAGCTTGATCTAATGGATAAGGGAACAAATGCTCCAGAGGTTAGATTTTTCCCAAAATATTCCTGCTTTTTTGTGATACTTGGTTTTTTAGACCATTTTTTTGTAAAAAAATTTTCTTCATGAAATCAAGTTAAATTGTAACAATTATCCTTCACTTGAGACATTATTGAGGGCAATATATTTAAATTTAATGTTAAATGTACTAATCTTATTAGAAAATGTCGAATATTGGGACGGTCTAAAATAGAAATGTGACCTATTATTTAGGGACAAAAGGAGTATTTTATGTATGTTGGAAATTGTGCTCACTCTACTACCTTTTTCTTTCATTTTTTTTTTTAAAAAATTGTCATCTATCTAAACTACCCTTGCTCTATTATAGGTTCTTGAAGGAAAATCTTTTCGTTTGCAACGCCCTTGGGTCGGAACTGTGAATCGATCCCAAGCAGATATCAATACAAATGTTGATATGCTTGCTGCAAGAAAAAGGGAACGTGAATTTTTTGCCACTAGCCCTGATTATGCACATATTGCTAGTAAAATGGGTTCAGAATATCCTGCAAAACTTCTATCAAGAGTATGATCTTTACTCCAACTTCATTGTCGTGTGAGATCTGAAGAATGCAATGTGTTTTACTAGACATTCATATTATTGTTATTATGGTTAGGATCTGGAGAATGTAATCAAGGCACGAATACCAGGGATCGCGTCTTTGATTAAGAAAGGCATTGATGAAGCTGAATCCGAGTTAGATCAGCTTGGTAGACCTGTCGCCGTTGATGCAGGGGTAATGAGTTCCACCGTGTCAATTCCACATATATGAATGAAATATACAGCTGAGTCTAGGCTTGTAGGACATGTCTTCTCATATGCTGATTTGACTCCGAGTATTGTTGAATGCAGGCACAGTTATACACTATTCTAGAACTCTTCCGCGCATTTGATCAGACATTTGCAGAGCATCTAGAGGGAGGGTAAGTTGCTTCACATATTTAGTCATCCTTACAATCTTCCATCTACTATAACCCTCATAAACTTCCAGCAGAAAGAGAGAAAAAAAAGCTTTGAACCAGCATCTTAAGCATTTTTCATACATTTTGTTTGAAGTTATGAATCAACCATTCCAGCTAACTTCATTGGCCACCGGGGTTGTGTCAATTAGTAATACCTGATCTCCTTCTGTTAACCTTTTACAGTCGGTCAGGTGGTGATCGTATATATGAAGTTTTCGGCACCATGCTTCCAAAGGCGATGAAGAAAATTCCCTTTGACCGTCATCTTTGCTTACAGAATGTGAAGAAGGTTGTCTCACAGGCTGATGGTTATCAGCCTCATCTTATTGCACCCGAGGAAGGTTACAGGCGGCTTATTGAAGGTGCACTCAGTTGCTTCAAAGATCCAGCTTTAGCTTCAGTGGAAACTGTAAGTTTAATGCTGTTTCGCCATCTTATTACTAGAATGAATTCAAAATTATTAGGATCATGATTGCGATATGCAGCCACTCAGCTTGTTTTTGCATGTTTAGGTCCACAGAATTTTGACAGAGCTTGTCAGGAAGGCCATTGTAGGAACTCAGGTTTGAATTTTTTTTTCAGAATCATCTTGGTAGAAATATACAAACAGTGCACATATAAAGGGTTTTTATCTATGCTTGTGACACAGGAATTAAGGCGCTTCCCTACTCTTCAATATGAAATAGCATCAGCTGCAAATGCAGCACTGATGAGGTTTCGTGAAGAGAGCAAGAAGATCACTTTGCGCTTAGTAGAGATGGAATCCTCATATATCACTCCTGATTTCTTTCGGAAGCTCTCTTCCACAAATGTGGTTCCATATACAGAGGCTTACTACCTAAAGATCAGCTCAAATGTGGCCTCTTATGTCAATATGGTGTCTGAATCGCTGAAGAACTCAATTCCCAAGGCTGTGGTGTATTGCCAGGTCAGGCAGGCGAAGCAGTCTTTACTGAATCAGTTTTACCTGCAACTCGGCAAGAAAGAGGTAATCTAACAGTCAACCTGAGGCACATTTTCTACATGTTTGAGTTGTGGCAGACTGCAGTCTGGTTTGGTTTGATATAAATTGTAATGTGTGGACATGCATCGAGTTTTATGGTTCAAAACACAGACTGATAATTTGTCACTGATGATTGGAACAGGGTAAGCAGCTTGCTCGTCTGCTGGATGAAGATTTTGAGCTAATGGAAAGGAGAGAGAAATGTTTAAAGAGGCTGGAGTTATACAGAGCTGCAAGAGACGATATTGATTCTGTCTCATGGACTGAATGAGTTCATTTTTCCTGGTCAAAATTTCCACTGTTTATAGTATAAGCTTAGATGTTTTTTCTTCAGAATAGATTGGTGTTCATATTACTAACCCGTACATATTATATCATTAGGGACATTTTGCTTCAGTTAATAAATTTTCAAGACAATAGTTCTTATTAATTCATGTTTGTTGGTCTAGACCAAAAAGGCCAAAAGCAATGCATGTACTCCATCCATCTCAAATTTAACTTTGCAGGTATCTTTGCCTGACCTCCAAGATCAAACTTTGACCATTATTTTCAGTATAATTTTAAGGAAATATATCTGAAATAACTTTGAACAAGGAAAGATAATCATAAAAATAATTTCAGTCAAAATGATAATTTAATGGTCAACGATAGCGTTGACCACAAAGGTCAAATGGTAAATTTTGATTAAGGTAGTAAAAAGACAATGTATATCGGTATCTGTCTGCACTAAGCCTGGTGGATCAATTCTACTACTATTGTCAAGAGTAGTTCTGTTCAATTATCATATTACAGGAACTTGAATAAATATATCTGCCTCCAGCAGTAAGAATAGATGAGCTGCATAACTACAAAATACCAAGAGATGCAGCATTGAATTTATCAAACACCAAAATTAGTTTTCATTATTTTACCAATTTGATTCAGCATTGAATTTATCAAACACCAAAATTAGTTTTCATTATTTTACCAATTTGATTTTCTGCAGCCTCACTACAGCTTAATCTGCACCTTCTACTTCACAGACTCTTAAGCGGCGTCTGCTTTAGTTCTAACACCGTTTTCCTTTTCAAGCTCCTCTAGAACAGCCCACAATTTTGAATCTTCGTAATCTTTTATGAGGAAAGCTGGATTTTCCTTCATCAAAAGGTGTTCTGGATTTCTAGTACTCAAGCCAATCACAGGCATTCCAGCAGCTACTCCAGCTCTGATTCCGGAAGGAGAATCCTATACAATTAAAGGTTAACATTATCTTTATTAGGTATATAAATTCAATATATAAAATAAACACAAAATGAAAAGCAGAGAAAACCCAAGCAAACCTCAAAGATAAAAGTATGCTCTTTTGATGCACCAATTGCTTCCAAACCCTTCAAATAAGGTGCTGGGTGTGGTTTTGCATGTTCACACTCGCTTCCGACTATAATAGCCTGGAAGAATTCTGTGAGGCCGAGCATTGAGATCATGAGCTCAGCATTAGCTCTAGGGGCATTAGTAACGGCTGCCCTTTTCAAGCCATAATCTGTGATCCATTTTACTAGCTTGCTTAGGCCGTCTATAGGCTTCAACTGTTCTACCACCAGCCTAATTTACAAAGACCACATTGCATAAGCCAACTACTAGAGTATTCAGCTAAATTCTAAACCAAGAATGACACAAACTTACCTTCTAAAATAGGCTTCCTTATCATCTGTAAATTTCAAGCCTCGCTCATAGTCATCAGGGAAGAGAGCCCTGGCGATGTCATCATTATGCTTTCCAGCTATGTTCTGAATAAAGAATTCCTCGTCTATTGGAACACCACCATTGAAACCGATCTATTTAAAACAAGAAAAGGTATTAATTTACAAAAAACATCCTGTGCCTCTCACTCTCTCATCATCTACACTATCTGGCACTGATGCTAGCTGTTCATTTTAACATCAGAATATAGACATGATTCACAAGTGTAATTTCATATCTTCACTGCAGTGATTTAGTCACTAGAAAGTCAGAAATTATAATTTCATAGATGTACCTCCTGAAGCATTTCACGGAAAGCAAAGTAATGAAGAGGATCTGAATCACACAAGGTTCCGTCCACATCAAATAAGACAGCTTCCACAGGAGCAAGTTTGAGCAGAGCAGATTTGCTGCACTAACAGAAAAAATTATGTAGGATTAAAAATTCCAACTTTCCAAATAGTAATGTCCAAACATTATTACTCAACACATCAAATACACAATTGCTCTGATTCCTCCCACGAAGATCCTGGCAGTATCTGGGACACGACCCCTTCACATAATCATAAGAAATATGGACTGTGTCATCCCTAAATACAACCCCGGCCTCATATTTGAATACAAAAAAAAAAAATAGTTTAAATGTGTAGGGTGCATGTCTCAGTTCTATATAGTGATTATTAGTCATTCATATGACAAGTTTAGTCCTTTGGGTCATTCAACAATCATTAGTTGTGGATCATACATATCTATGTAAGTAGAAAGTATGTATGTCCGGACATCTGGTTAATAATCAAATTATTGCACTAGATGGCGAAAAATACAACAGGCAACATGCATAATCATTGAATCGAAAGCCAAGAGTCAACTTGTACAATCTTTTCATGAATTTATCTGGTCATGTCTGTTCCATGGATTCAGTAAAAGAGTGCTAAGTATAGGATTGCATCAAAGTATCTATGACCATTTCCAATAACTAATTTAATTGGGCAACAAAAATACTTCCATGGAACATACCATTGATATCAACATACAAGTCAGACTACTAAAACAATAACAAGATACACTACAAAATATGAAGTTTCTACTTCCTACACTTTCTGCTTTTCTAACTTGCTCTGAAAAACTGAGTAAAATAACAAAAAGAGCAACCCGGACCCACAAATGTTGTAATCCATCATCAAGATATCAAATTCACTATTTGCTTATACTTGGACTTAGCAGAGGAGTATTTTTGTTAAACAGTTTCCTAGCAAACACTTAAGATAGGCATGGTCCGCATGCCTCCCTTGTGGAATTAACAGACCAGTTAGTCAATGTAAGCAAAGAAGAACGTTTGGATGTCCGCTAGCTTAGTTAGTCTTAGACTCTTAGGGTACACGTCTAAGTGTCAGACACAGGCACTTTATAAATTTTTTCTGCCTAATTTTGGCCCAAAATAGAGTGTCTATGTAACATACCAATGTCCGTATGTCAAATATCTACCTGAAATAAAAAGTCCGAGCAACATAGCTCAAACATACAATCCACCCTAATAATAATGCTTCAGCAACTTGTAAACAATGTGGTTCTTAGAGAATAACCAGCTTAATTAACAAATGCTAGAAACTATGACTAGATCGACCAAAACAAGATATCATCAATGATCATACTTATTTCACCAATTACACAGATTCATCAAGCCAATAAACAAGATTGACTGAAATTAAATGGACCATTATACAATCTAACAACAAATTAGATAAAAACGGGAAAACCCCACATCAAATTCCAATCAAAATCTCAAAATCAACATAAAAAATTAAAGAAAAGGGAAAAAATTTTACCAGTCAGAGGACGAATTCTCAGTAGATAAAGCAGTCATGGTAAATTGGTAAGATGTCAATCAACAAATTGATTTGATGAAATTTGCGATCGTAGGAAGGTAGATTAGCTGAGCCTGAGAATCTGGTATGATGTGATTTGAGGAGGGAGAAAGAAAATCTTAAGTAAACAATTTAAAAGAAATTAAGTTGTTGAAAAGAATATTCGTCAGAAATTGAAGTGGAAATAAATTGAAATAAAAAAGGAAAATTGTAAATTAATAATCCCACCTTTAATCAGTCTTCCACAAACAATCCCACCTTTTGAAATTTCGGAAACAATCCCACCCTTGATAGGGATCTTCCACTAACAAACCTTGACCGGTTGGATTGTTTTGCTAACCGGTTTTATTAGGTTACATGACACGTGTTGACTATTGATTGGTTTATTCTATTTTTTAAAAATTAAAAAAAAAAAAAAAAAAAAAAAAAAAAAAAAAAAAACCAGCCACCTAACGACCCCCTTTCCCTTCCTCATCCTGCCCCTGCCTTCCCCAACAACTCAATCAGCCAATCGGAAGCTTGACAAAGGGGTTTTTTTAGGGTGGTTAGGGCGTTTTCGGGGGGAGTTTTCAGGGCTAGGTGGGGATTTTGGGATCGGGATGGAGTTTGTCATGGTTGGGGGTTGATTTTTCAGGGATGGGTCTGGTTTTCTGGGGGCTTGAGACGGAGTTTGCAAGCTCCAAAGCCCATAATCGACCCCAATTATTCCTTCTTAATTTAATTTTGGGGATTATTTTACCCATTTTAGGGCTGATTTGTGGGTGTGAATTGATGTTGTAGTTGTTAGATATGGAGGATCAGCGGCCTGCAAGTAGGCGCTGCAGTGGTGGCGCGTTGTGCGACGCTGCGTTTGAGGATCGATAATGTGTGGGATTTTTGTTTGGAGGGTGGGTTTGTTGAATCGCGGCGGAAGAAGTCGTGGATGGTGGGTGTGGGGTTTTCGGCCTTTAGCCTTTAGGTGCTGCTAGAGGTTGCGTGGGTGTTAGGGGGCTTGCTGGTGGAGGAGTGGAAAGGTGTTTATGGTTGGTGGTGTTGTGTGAGGGTTGCGATTGGTGATGGTTGGGTGAGTGGTGGCCGATGACAAGTGAGGAGTTGAGGAGGTGGTGGACTGGTGGTAATTTTGGTGGCAGTTCATAGAAGGAACTCAAGGAAGGTGGAAGAAGATGAATTTAAAAAAAATAAAAAAAGTTTGACCGGTTTAACCGGTTATAGGTCATAGGGATCGTTTATGGAAGATCCATGTTAAAGGTGGGATTATTTCTGGAATTTCAAAAGGTGGGATTGTTTATGGAAGACCGACTAAAGGTGGGATAAAAAAAGGGTAAAGAGAATATACTAGTAGGATTTATGCCAATTGTCTTTAAGTACATTCTATGTGGTTGCTACTAAAATGCTAGGAAGTTGATAATTAGTTCCTGTTCTCCAACTTTTTTTTTTTTTTTGTTTTTTGCTCTTTGCTATAATACAAGTATTAATTTGTTGTTTTTCCTTCAAAAAAAAGTATTATTTGTTGTTATTCATAATTATGAAGTCCACATAATTCTATATTAATCTCGTATGGAACCAATCAGCCAATAGAGGTGGTTTTTTTTTTTTTTTTTTTTTTTTTACATGTTTCATTGCACCTTCTTTTTTTCCTAATATAAATAGATATAGCTTATATAATTAAGATTGCCAATTGTAGATTCCGTATGACTTTATTTAATGAAATTAATATCCTTTAGAACTTCTTTTTAAAAAAAAAAATTAAGATGGTGTTTTTAGATGTCTTATTTTCGAGTTATACTAATCACGCAGTAAATTATAATACTTGGAGGAATTACATATATGCCAAGCACATGAAAATATGATAATCACTTAATCATAATATTCTAGCCATATTGCTGCTCATTTTTGGCCTCCTAACATTATGATGAGCCTCAACCAAATTGTTAAAGCATCCAACAAAATCAAGTGTTAGATTCCCAATTGGTTGGAGCATCACCCCATTTTCTATTTGATGGGATATATTCCTCTCACCCCTTTCAATTCAATTAACTTTCTTGGAATAGGGACAAAGTAGAGACCACTAAGTACAAGTATTAGATTTCTTTTTGTTTTTTGTTTTGTTTTTTTTTTTTTTTTTGAGGGAATTATTACAAGTACTTCGTATTAGATAGATCATGTTGTATTGGTTTCGAATTTTACATTTTTTTTTTGGTACATTTTCATATCCTTAATCACACCAATTCTATGTTGTGGTATTTGATTGTTTGGTATGTGGACAATGAATGTGTGGTTGGAAGTTTTGATTACATTTAAGAGTATTATTTGTAACATATAAAATATTTCTTTTTATTGCAAATAAGAAGAAACAGAGGTAATATATCAAGTTTACATTTTCATATACCAAACGACTCATAAAGTCGGGGATTCAACCCCTTATGTCGGTATTCACATTCAATTGTTCTTGCTTTCAAGTCAGGCTAGGCTAACCAAACTTGCCCACTGATTCTCAATGTTAGGCAAATACTAGGATAATGGATATACTAGCCACATTGGTCCAGGCCACTATTCCCCATTATCACTAAAGATGTTGACATCAAATTGAGTTGTTGCATTCTCTTAAAACAGCGTTTTTGGTAATCATTTCTAAGCAACGGCAACCATTTGTTTATTCTTCATTCCAATACTTTATATACATCATGTTGTTACATCTAGTATTTTAGTGGTATGAAAAAGATCCTATCATTTTTCCAGGTTAATTAACAACTAATTAAAGGTATGCATGAAGAGGGCTCGAAAAATTATCTACTGGCGGCTCACATCTTTGACGCGATTTTAGATAAAGGAGAGCTTGAATGTTCAACAAATGTGTAAAATAACAAAGGATAAAAGGATCATTCATTTCAGAGCAATTTCCTCATGGAAGGAAGCAGGTCCCTGGGTTACAGGGACCAGTTGAAGCACTAGTGCAGAAGTGCCTAACTGATACATACTTTACAATTCATTAAAATTGAAATTTGAAATACTGTGTACTTCAACTTCAAAGCCAATAAGACTTCATATTCCTAATTCTAACAATATATGATGGTCAGATTCCAAGTCTAATGTATAGATCAAATCATACCACTATACTGATGAAAACATTGCACGATGCATTGCACATCAAAAATAGACAGCCATTCAAGGCATAAGATAAGCTTGCAAAGAAAAGTTTTAACATAAAGAAAAGAGGCCAAGGAATCAAGAGTTGTTTTGTTAACGTCATCTGACTCAAGGAAAGTCTGAAGTCTAAGACAGACGTTGGGTCAAAAGCATTCAACTATTTACAACAAATTAATTTTTTATATTCAGGTTGATAATTTACTTTTAATATTGACTGTCAAAAGTTTTTACGATCTTACCAACCTCTAAAGGGAAGCCTTGTTTGCTTTGGTAGTCTATAAATACTGTCACGCTTATCACAGAATCCTCATCCACCAAGTAACACGTCTTCTCTTGATCTTACTCTCATTATCGTCTCTGTAATTGCCCCAAGATGTCTTTCTCATTGCAAAATTTTCTTCACCTTTCAATCTGCTTGCTTCTCCTGATAAGTTTTGCTAATGCTCAAAACTGTAGCGACTGTTTTGTTCACTCACGTGCATCATATTATCCAAACTCTGACGAACATGGAACAGATCGTGAGTATATGCAAGAAAATTATGCTGTCAAATATACGTTTTAATATTATAAATTCCAGCAGTTTAGATATAACAAATGAATTGACTATATCTTTGAAATGCAATGCAGATGGAGCTTGTGGGTTCGGGGCATTTGGAGCAACAGTCAATGGAGGAGATGTATCAACTGCATCAGAACTCTACCGTGATGGAGTAGGTTGCGGTGCTTGCTATCAGGTAGGTAACTAAATTACTATACCAGATGACTCAAGGAAAGCTTCCACAATCTGATTTTTACCAACTGTTATTATGAACTGTTTATTCATGCAACTATTGTTTCTATAGGTCAAATGCACAAACAGTGACTATTGCTCAGACAATGGAGTTACCGTGGTCATAACAGACCAAGGCTCTGGTGACCATACTGATTTTATCCTCAGCGAGCATGCTTTTAGCAAGATGGCTCAAACAACAGATGCAGCTGCATCTTTGAGATCCCTTGGTGTAGTGGACATAGAGTATCAACGGTATTTTATTAAAAAGCTTTTCATTTATTATATCTAATTAACAGTTCTTCATAAAACAGTTTACATCTGTAAAAAGGAGTTTCACTTTACTAGTTGCAATCCCCTGTCTATTTGAGGATTTCTATATTAGAACTTTAAATGACTTAACAAAACCTTTCTCTTCGAAACAGGATTTCATGCAGCTACCCAGGTAAAAACATAACATTCAAGATTGATGAGAGCAGCAACTACCCTAGCTATCTAGCATTTGCTATTTATTACCAACAAGGAGAAAAGGATATCACTGCTGTGCAACTATGCGAGGTCTAAATTCTATTACCCACTGAAAAAACTTCACCTATAGCTTATTTTACTTTTTCTATCTTCTAATCAATTATCTAGTGATTCTATTACACCATATTTAGGACTACAAAATACAGATAAAAAGCTGAGGAATCAGGTATTAACATGCAATTTGATATGTGCAGACACAAACTTTTACCTGCAAGTTACTGCAACGAGACCATGGAGCTGTGTGGACAAGTACTTCTCCACCAAGTGGACCGTTGTCCATAAGAATGTTGTTCAGTGATGGTGATTACGCAGATGATACTTGGGTTGTTCCCGTCAACAACATACCTCAAGATTGGAAATCAGGAGCCATATATGACTCTGGAGTACAAGTGAACTAAAAGGAAAAATCGCCTGCATTAATCAGATTAGCAATGAAAATAGGCTCTATATATACTATGTATTATTTAATGCTGTAATTATTTTTCAATAGATTGAAGCTTAGGCTATAAACTTCAATCCACCATTACATTCAATGACTAATAAAATCTGAGTTTCAAGATACCATTTCTTATAATCACGCTAAGCCCCCTTATTAGCTTAACATATTACAAAGCAGAGATCAACACTCATGCACCAAATTTAATTTATTACAAGCAGTTTTGGATTGTTATAAAAACCTGCCAACTTATAACTGTTGCCAAAATAAAAACCAACATCACTCCAATATTCGTGTCAAATCAGAATACCAACTCTGAAAATAATATTTGGATTCCATAGATCTAGAATAATATCAGATTAGAAAAAAGATCAGATCAAATAAGATGAAGTAACTTCAGGTGAAACAAACGAAATCTAGTCAACATGTGAAGCACACAAGCAAAAGAACTTTGCTATTTCCATATAACATAATGTAGTAAATAGATACAGATTAATGAAGCAGAAGACATAGCAGAATATGAATGCAAATAAATTTGAAACAAAGAATGGCTTTATACAAAGATTAATATAATATCATTTCCAAACTACATCCAGAATTTTAAGGTGAGGATAGCAAAATCTAGAGGGTTAAACAGTGTTGAAAACTATGATATATTATTTCAATTTAGTTAACAATCCTTCCACTAATACATAGTTTACATAGGTTGGGGGTGAATTGCATCATGATTATTACAGCATATATAATATTTTTTGAAGAAACAAGTCTATAATAATCTGATATCTGAATCATATGCAATTTCAAGCCTATTGTCTATGTGAGCCAACGTCATCAGGAGAAAAGTTTGCACAAAGAATGAATATAACAAGTCTTCTACCAATTTTATTTAGGATTGCTTTGCCACAAAAGTACCTGTTCCAAGGACTTCTTGCCATTGCCTTAACACCATCACGGTCCCTTCACTCTTTGGTTTCAGCATTAGAGTCTGTATTACACCAGTCCGCTGTGCTAATTCCAGACAGCTTCACTTGAGAACTCATTTGTCTCAACATTGAATGAATCATAGTTCTTCTATGAAAGGAAGGGTCTTTTTTAGAGTAATCTAGTTCACCCAATCCAAAACAGGTCTTGCTGTACCCTGCTTCTTTGTGCAAACCTTTCTCCTTTATAAGTCTCCTCACTGTATCGACATCTTCCCATCGCCCTAGGGCAGCATATATGTTTGATAATAACAGATAAGCCCCAATGTCTTCAGGTTCTTGCTCAACCAGCCACTTTCCAACAAACTCCCCAAGCTGTATATTCGAATGACAAGATGAGAGTAGGGCTCCCCATAAAGCAGGTCCTCCCTTCATATTCATATCCTTCACGAGCTCTTCTGTGTCTTTGAGCAGACCAGCCCTCCCAAGAAGATCAACCATGCAACCATAGTGCTCAACCTTCGGCTCAATCTTGTAAACTCTATTCATGATATCAAAATACCACCAACCCTCCAAGACCTTGCCTGAATGGGCACAGGCGGCTAAAACACATACGAAAGTGGCATCATTAGGTATTTGCCCACTATTCTCCAGCTCTTGAAACATTTCAAGGGCTTTGTCTACAAGACCATGCAAGCCATAGCCCATGATCATCGAGTTCCATGACACAACACTCTTCTCTGGCATACTATCAAAGACAATTTTAGCCATGTCCATATCCCCACACTTAGCATACATTGTCAAAAGAGCTGTAAAAAGCAAAACATCAGGTTTAATCCTCCTATTATTTTCTATATAATGATGGACCCACTTACCCAAATCCAGCTTACATAAATAGCCACATGCTGTTAGCACACTTACAAGAGTAGCCTCATTAGTCTGAGCACCTCCTTGTATCATTCCTTCAAACAATGTCACGCACTCATCGTACTCCTTGCACCTCACACAAAGGGCCAACATGGAATTCCAGGTAACCGCATTACGGTCAGGCATACGTTTGAAACATTCACGAGCAGCCGAGATATCCCCCATTCTAGCACACCCGTCAATCAAACAATTCCAAGAAACAACATCTCTTTGAGGCATTGCCCCAAAAATCTCTACCGCTGCCTCCATATCCCCCACCCCAACATACCCAGCAAGCATTGAATTCCAAGTAAAGACATCTCTCTCAGGCATTTCATCAAACAGATTGCGGGCAAGACCCACCTGCCCATTCTTCACATACCCATCAATCATTGTATTCCAACTCACAATATCACACTCAGAACTTTCATCAAACACCTTATCTGCATCCCACATCCTTCCAAAAACCGAGTACATTCTAATCAAGGAATTCCTAACAAACAAATCCAACCCAAACCCAGATTTCAAAACCCGGCAATGCGCCTTTTCTCCTTCTACATCCTCCCCAATATCAACACAAACCCTAATTATCAGCGGAAAAGTATAATGATTCGGCAAAACACACCCACCAATCATATAATCATAATAAAATGCAAGACCACTTTCTGGGTAACCCTGATTCAAAAAACCTCTAATAATGGTATTACACATAAAAGCATCAACTTCATCAAGCTTCCCAAGAAGCAAAACAGCCTGGTATAACCCATGAGGAAGAGAACAGAGCTTCTTCACAGCCCGGCTCGCGGCAAGAGGGTGATTAAGGAGGCCTAAGATGATAAGCTGAGCTTGGGTTTGATGAAATTGAGCAAGATTAGAAGATGAATCTACTTTGTGGAGAATTGGGTGGTTAAGATTTAAGGTGTATTTTTCTCTGTCATCAAAACTGAAATCTGGAGAAGATCCGAATTTGAGATTGGACCAGAGTTTTGGGGATGAGAGTTTGGGGGGAGATTGATGAAATTTGAGGCGTTTTTGGGGAGAAAGGAAGGTGAAGGAAGTTATGGGTTTGAAGAGGTTTCTCTTAACGGTCATTTTTTAGGTTTGGCGGGAATGTGACTCTGATTTTGCTACTTCCTTGTTCTAATGGTCTAGTGGTGTTCCCTTCACCTCGTTGGACCTGAATATATCTGAATCGAACTTATGGATTATTTGAATTTATTATCCGACTGATCTTATTAGAGATTATTGGTTTTATTGGAACTGCAATTTGAAACATTTTTTTTTATCAAACACGAACTATAAATCAATCTTTTGCTACTAACATACGAGCAACCATCCACTTGGTGCCACTCGAGTTCAAGCATGTCAGGCGTGTTTTTTGTTTCGATTGCAAACTTTGCGGCAAAGCATGCAAAGACATAGTGGGAAGTACTAAACATTTACAAGGTGAGCTTTAGAGCTGTAGAAAAGAGAAGGTACAGGGCTTCTGTAAAATTTACAAGACTTTAAGAATTATAGCTTTCAAAGGTCATACATATAAAAAGCAGAGGGATTGATGTAGCTCGTTATCTCTATATGTATTATGTAGCGCAGGTCACTGTCCCAAAGTTGTTCTCTTCGTAGTCGTAAACCACACCTAAATACACTGAAAGCTCTCAGCCCTTCTGCTAAACACGGATGCCTGACCATACTAAAATCTTTGTATATAATATGTAGCAAGCTCACTCGACAGACATTGGGCAGAAATAAAATCATAAACGGTTCATGGTCACTATCACCATTTCTCTCTCATCCACATCAACCCAACAAACCATGGGTCACTATCACTATTTCTCTCTCATCCACATCAACCCAACAAACCATTTACAATATTCACTCTTAACAATGAACACTAAACAATGGTTCATCATCAATACTCCCTACCCCACCTTATTTTATTTTTGTAAATATAATCTATTTAATTCATAATTATAATTTATTAACTCGATGTCAATGTAATTAATTGACGTATTTAAGTTTTTAATCGTGATTACTAATTAAGAAATTATCGCGTTTTTTTATCAGCTTTTTTAAAAACTAATTCTTGTGATCAATATTTTTAAACAACAACGCAGCTAATTTTAATTAACATAATTGAAAAAAAAAAGAGGTACAAATCGTGATTACAGGACTACAACTATAATCAAGTACATTTTTTTAAAAAAAAAAAAAAAGAACTACTACACATCGTTTTGTAAGATGTCCTTAGGGATAACCATTTGTTGTAAACCTAATTGTGTAAGTTCTCGTTGTTACCAAATTTATTCCATATATGTGCGACCAAGTTGTTTTTTTAGCTGCAAATGAGTCTGTTGATCCTCAATCTCTGTTCTACGAGTCAAGTATAAGCTGATATCCACAATACAATCAGTACGATACTCGGTAGTGTCCTCATTAGCGTTGCCTCCAGCATTCATAAACTCATTGGTATTAACGTTATTTTGATACGTCTCTTGTTCATCTTCAACGATCATATTATGTATTATGATGCAGGCGAGCATGATATTGTGGAGTATGTCGGTATCCCACGCCAAAGACGGCTTTTTAATAATGGCAAAACGAGCTTGAAGGACCCCAAATGCGCGTTCAACGTCTTTCCTTGCAGCTTCCTGGTGTTTTGCGAATAAACGATCCTTACGAGCTTCTGGACTCGTGATGGATTTCACAAAAGTAGCCCATCTAGGGTAGATTCCATCAGTAAGATAATACCCATTCGTATAATGATGACCATTGACTACGAAGTTCACAGCAGGTGTTCGACCCTCTAAGACGTCTTCGAACACAGGGGATCGATGAAGCACATTAATATCGTTGCAGCTACCTGGCATCCCAAAGAACGAATGCCATATCCATAGATCTCTGTCCGCAACTGCCTCCAGTACGAGAGTTGCAACTCCTGCTCTTCCTTGATACTGCCCCTTCCATGCGTGTGGACAGTTCTTCCACTCCCAGTGCATACAATCAATGCTGCCTATCATGCCAGGAAATCCACGTTCTTCCCCAATACGTAGCAATCTTTCCATATCTACGATGTTTGGACGGCGTAGGTACTGATCACCGAACTGGTTGATGACACCTTCTGTAAACTTTTGGAGTGCCAATCGTGAAGTAGCCTCACTTACACGGACATACTCATCACAAGCGTCTGAAGCACACCCGTAAGCTAGTTGTCTAACGGCCGCAGTGCACTTTTGAAGTGGAGACAACCCAAGACGACCTGCCGCATCTCGCCTTTGTTGAAACCAAGGGTCATGTTGGGT